TAATAAGATTTATTTCATTCATTCAGATCTAGGATGTGTTGTTTAAGTGTTCCCTTTATTTTTTTGAGCAGTGTATATATATACACACATACACATACATATACATACACATATATATATATATATATATACACATCCTTTAAAAAAATATATTTCCCTTTATTCCTTTCCAACCCCACCACCCACCAATTGAGTAATAGGACAACTGCAAGGCCTCTAAGCTTACGTGGGAGAGTAAACTATGTGAGGTTTCAACTTACAAGTAGAGGCTGAATTTTATCATAGGTACACTTCAACTGTGAAACGGAATCTCAAAAATCCAGAAATCACATGTATATTTTTAGTAATTAATTATTTATGCATACAAAGTATTTGACCTACCAACCAGTAAGAATTCCGGCTCTCACAGACCTGTTAGTTTTTCTTTACGAAGCCCTCCTGTTCTCCACTCATTACCTGTATTAACTGCACCTGTTTGAACTCGTTACCTGTATAAAAGACACCTGTCCACACACTCAATCAAACAGACTCCAACCTCTCCACAATGGCCAAGACCAGAGAGCTGTGTAAGGACATCAGGGATAAAATTGTAGACCTGCTGGGATGGCTGGGATGGGCTACAGGACAATAGGCAAGCAGCTTGGTGAGAAGGCAACAACTGTTGGCGCAATTATTAGAAAATGGAAGAAGTTCAAGATGACGGTCAATCACACTCGGTCTGGGGCTCCATGCAAGATCTCACCTCGTGGGGCATCAATGATCATGAGGAAGGTGAGGGATCAGCCCAGAACTACATGGCAGGACCTGGTTAATGACCTGAAGAGAGCTGGGACCACAGTCTCAAAGAAAACCATTAGTAACACACTACGCCTTCATGGATTAAAATCCTGCAGCACACGCAAGTCCCCCTGCTCAAGCCAGCGCATGTCCAGGCCCGTCTGAAGATTGCCAATTACCATCTGGATGATCCAGAGGAGGAATGGGAGAAGATCATGTGGTCTGATGAGACAAAAATAGAGCTTTTTGGTCTAAACTCCACTCGCCGTGTTTGTAGGAAGAAGAAGGATGAGTACAACCCCAAGAACACCATTCCAACCATGAAGCATGGAGATGGAAACATCATTCTTTGGGGATGCTTTTCTGCAAAGGGGACAGGACGACTGCAACGTATTGAGGGGAGGATGGATGGGGCCATGTATCGCGAGATCTTGGCCAACAACCTCCTTCCCTCAGTAAGAGCATTGAAGATGGGTCGTGGCTGGGTCTTCCAGCATGACAACGACCCGAAACACACAGCCAGGGCAACTAAGGAGTGGCTCCGTAAGAAGCATCTCAAGGTTCTGGAGTGGCCTAGCCAGTCTCCAGACCTGAACCCAATATAAACTTTTTGGAGGACTGACAGTCCATATGGCCCAGCGACACCCCGAACCGAGGATCTGGAGAAGGCTTTCTGTTATGAAGATGGTGTCAAATCCTGCCTGCAATTGTGGTGCAAACCCTGGTCAAGACCTAGAGAAAGTTATGATCTTTTATTGCAAACAAAGGTTTCTGTACCAATATTAAGTACTGCCTTTATAGATATTATCAAATACTTATGTCATGCAATAAATGCAAATTTATTACTTAAAAATATATACACATGTGATTTTCTGGATTTTTGTTTTAGATTACGTCTTCACATTGAAGTGTACCTTGATAAAAAATTACAGACCTTACATGCTTTGTAAGTAGGAACCATCTGGCAAAATCGTGCAGTGTTCAATACTTGTTCTCCCACTGTATATACCATATACATTTTATGGACACAGTCAATTTTACAATAATTATATTTTGTTTGTATCCAGGCTCTGTCGTAGCCGGCCGCGACCGGGAGACCCATGGGGCGGCGCACAATTGGCCCAGCGTCGTCCAGGGTAGGGGAGGGAATGGCCGGCAGGGATGCAGCTCAGTTGGTAGAGCATGTTGTTTGCAACGCCAGGGTTGTGGGTTCGATTCCCACGGGGGGCCAGTATGAAAAAGTAAAAAAATTATGTATGCACTCACTAACTGTAAGTCGCTCTGGATAAGAGCGTCTGCTAAATGACTAAAATGTAAATGTACATTTTTTTTGTTTTAATCCTGAACTTCCTCTACCCTCAACCTCTCTGATCATTTTCATGATGTCCATCCGGTTTGGTTTTACAGTGAGGGAAAAAAGTATTTGATCCCCTGCTGATTTTGTACGTTTGCCCACTGACAAAGTAATGATCAGTCTATAATTTTAATGGTAGGTTTATTTGAACAGTGAGAGACAGAATAACAACAAAATAATCCAGAAAAACGCATGTCAAAAATGTTGTAAATTGATTATTGATAAATTGACTATATACTTATTATGACACAGTATGCTTTACATTAATTATCTTGTTGTTATTAGTTGTTGTTAGTTGTTATTAGTCCCATCCTTCAGCTCCATTCAACTCCTCCCATCTATCTCTTAACACCATCCATATTGGATTTCTATTTGCCATGTATTTTTCAACTGTACTGTGATGTTTCAAAAAAGTTCTGAACCCTTCTATTCTCATTGTTTCTACAGATTGTAAATTGAAAATAAACATTTTTGCTAAAAGTATTATCATTATTGATCGATTGACTATGACTTTTCAGATCACCCAGTAGTGCTATCTGCAGGGTTAGCTCCAGGTAAATATTGCAATCCTTCAGCCATTCTTGGAACTGTGTCCAAAAACAAGCTACAAATGGACAGTACCAAAACAAATGATCTAATGATTCTGTCTCTTCGCAGCAAAATCTGCAGAGCTGGGAAGATTGTATCCCCCATATAAATAACATTTATTTCCTTCTTAATGCGTTTGAGCCAATCAGTTGTGTTGTGACAAGGTAGGGGGGATATACAGAAGATAGCCCTACTTGGTAAAAGACCAAGTCCATATTATGGCAAGAACAGCTCAAATAAGCAAAGAGAAACGACTGTCCATCATTACTTTAAGACATGAAGGTCAGTCAATACGGAACATTTCAAGAACTTTGAATGTTTCTTCAAGTGCAATCGCAAAAACCATCAAGCGCTATGATGAAACTGGCTCTCATGAGGACCACCACAGAAATGGAAGACCCAGAGTTACCTCTGCTGCAGAGGATAAGTTCATTAGAGTTATCAGCCTCAGAAATTGCAGCCCAATTAAATGCTTCACAGAGTTCAAGTAACAGAGACATCTGTTCAGAGGAGACTGTGTGAATCAAGCCTTCATTAATACTGTTGTTGTCACGTTTTCTTGCATAATTCAACAAGTGTGCCAAGAGAAGGATACCCAGGCGATTTAAAATCAAAACACTATACATACGTTTGCGAGATCAGACATAATATCACTATAATTTCAGTGTTCATTTTTGGAAGTTGCTTACATTTGTAAGCATTTCAACTGTATTAAATCTTACTTTTTTCAATTGCACAAAAATGTAACACCCACCAAAATAAAGTTATCTTTCTTCTCTTCTTTGTGATGTAAGTGTCGAGACGTTTTAAATCCTTGATGAAGTGTTAGCACTCTTATAGATGCAACGGAAAGCCAATGTATGCCATTGAGCCCATTTCAGCCATTACCGGAGTGTGTTTGACTGGTCATTACAAATGTTTCCGTGGTCGTTATGTTAACGGCAAAAACAAATGTCACAAGCAAGAGTGGGAAAGATTTAAGTAACAAATGGATTTTGAAAGCAATCAATCCAGCGAGATTAATGTGACAAGTGGATTTTGCACCCCTCAAACACAGGAAATAGATGGCTGAAAAGGAAAGATCCTCAGGTGGGCGGTGCATACACGTTGCTAATGTCATGTATCCCTCCTCCTTCCCTTCCTTCTCTCCTCCTCCCCCTTCACCTAATAACCACCAGTGCCCATGTCCACCTCTCTTCCTCTCCCCCTATCACCCTATCACCCTCTCCTCCTTGCACTGAGCTCCAGCAGGGAACAGTTGTCTGTACATATCTAGGATCAGTTTATCCTCTGCTAATCATAACCTCAGCCAGTTAAGCCAAAACCTAAAAACGGACCCTAGATCAGTGTCTAACTTCATCCTAGACCATTCAGTCAGCCTAGCTAATCAGATTAAGACTGAGATAGGATTAGTATAGGAGCAGGTGGGACACTAAGACTGTGTCCAAAAATGGCACCCTATTCTCTCCATAGGGTCCATAGGGCTCTGGTCAAATGTAGTGCACTAAATAGGGAATAGGGTGCCATTTGGGACAAAAACTGAGACAGGCTGGAGGCTGTACACCAAGGAAGAGGGAGAGAGAGAGAGATAGAGAGAGATGTGGGGGAAGGGATCCTAAAGATTAGTCTTATTGGGCTCTACCATAGTAGCTGAGATAGAGACACTTCTAGTGCCTGGAAGATACTGACGGGACAAAATGTAACCCTCAACTACTTAATTTTCATAATTGGTATCGTCATCATAACTTTGAACAGCATCGACTTTATCATCATCAACACTTCTTCTGTAACTTCACATTTCATTTCGGATGACCTGGATGCTACTGTGACGAAACAGGTAGGTGACAACACTGCTAGCTACCATTCTGACACTGTGCTGTGCTCAATGAGCTGTAAAATGAATTCAACTTCATGTCTGAGCTTGAAATGTCAGTGAAGTAGAGGTAATATGCTCAAAGGTAAGGCCCTTACTATTGTTTGTGTTAAAAGTACAGAGTAAATAGGCATATTTCTTAAGATCTATTGTCTGTCATTTCTGAGTCATCTGTGTGTTTTCTCCTGGCTCGGAAATGATTTAAAGGGACAACAAACATAATATTTGTAAGTGTACTGCGTCATATTCTGTCTTTTATCAGGAAGCACCAGAAGAAAATGGATTCTGTGATCATACCGACCCACCACGTGTGATGTCAGTCCCATCCTCTGTGATGACATCACCAACAGAGCCCCATCTTCACAGAAAGAAGCATTGTGATTGGCTGAACCTTCATCAGGACCAATCATGTCTCTGACAGTGGACGAGACAGCTGGGGATCTCCCAGTGAGGGACGTAGGGCTGATGAGAGGAGGGCTGATGCCCACCGTACCAGGTAAGAAGGGTGGAGTGGGGGAGAGTGAGATGGAAGGGGGTGGGGGGAGAAGAGAGAGGGGACAAGAGAAAAAAAGAATGCAGAAGAAATGAGTAACTGAACCAAACAGTGCATTTACATTTTACAATCATGTCATATCAAATATTAGTACTAGGAAATAAATAGATGTGATTGAAGCAATGTGGTTTAACACCCTGTCTCCTTCCCTGTCTGTCTGTCTCTCCTTTCCAAGACTCTGTGAGAGACGGAAGGTCATGGAAAAAACCACAAGTGCTCAAGATAAAAGGTGAAACAAAACTAGGAACTCACAGATCAAATGTATCTCTTTCTGGTAACATTTTCACCTCTAATCCCTTCTCTCTCTTTCTTCTCTACTCTCTTCTTCTCTTTTTTCTTCCCTCTTTCTTTCATCCCTCTTAATTCAATTTCTTCCTCCTCTTCTTCACTCTCGGTCTCTTCCCCATCTCCCCCTCTCTTTATTCCCTCTCTCTTTCCCCTCTTTCTCCCCTTTCTCTTTCGCCCCCACCCACACTTTTCCTCACCTCTCTTCCATTCCCTTATTTTCCCTCTCCTTCTTCCCTCTCTTTCTTCCTCCTCTCCATCAGACCGTCAGAGGGTGTTCCAGGTGCCCAGGGAGCAGCTGGAGGACCAATGTTTACGTCTGCAAGAGGAGAACAACCTACTGAGACAGCACACACGCACACAGGAACAGAGGCTACGCAGGTACCAATAAGACACGCTTCTTTTTTGTTCTGCGTTACATTACATTTTGCTACGGTGTGACCTAATGAACACAACCCAGCTGAACCAGACCACCCAATGTATATCCTCCATCTCCTCTCTCCCCAGGATGTCCACCAAGCTGATGCGTTTAAGGGAGGGGCGTCCGGGCGAGGCCGGAACCAGGGTCATGGAGGGGGACATGGAGGAGATAATCCAGGAGCTGGAGGCGCGTGTGGCCACCCTGGAGAGCCAGAAGGGGGCACTGCAGAGCAAACTCAGCATGGCCAGGCAGCACATCATGGACCTTGGGCCTGGACGGAATTACCACAGACTCAGAGGTACTTAGTTGACTGTGTAAATATAGAGTGATATTTTGAGTCATGTATTTTGAGACATCTATGTGAAAATAATTCTACACAGTATTGTTCATGAAATTCAATTTATTGTCCTCCGTCCCTGGACGTCATCACTGATGTGACATGACTAAATCTCCACCTGGTTCCTCTCTAGGTTTCTTCCTAGATGACTGCCTTTAGGGAGTTTTTCCTAACCACTGTGTTTCTGCCTCTGCATTGCTTGCTCTTTGGTGTTTTAGACTGGGTTTCTGTATATGACTTTGTGACAACTGCTGATGTAAAAAGGGCTTTAAAAAAAGACATTTGATGGATTGACTAAATTAGTGAAAGCTATCCAGTGGATCCTCTGTAGTTGAACTTCTGCTTTCACTGATCCAATCATATTGGATAATGGATGATTTAAGGAAAATATGCATTTCAACACAGGACACCTTTTCCCTCTTTTTCCTTTCAGGGCGGGGAATAGATGGGGAGGGAGGAGTCAGACGAGCAGCACAGACAGCTCCGCCCCGCTACGGCCCCAGCCTGGAGGACACCAGAGGAGAGATAGAGAAATTGTAAGGAGAGAGCGAGAGAGAGAGAGAGAGAGCGAGAGAGAGCGAGAGAGAGAGAGAGTGAGAGAGAGAGCGAGAGAGAGAGAGAGAGAGCGAGAGAGCGAGAGAGCGAGAGAGAGAGAGAGAGAGAGAGAGAGAGAGAGAGAGAGTGGGTGCGTGCGTGCACGCAAGAGACCATGAGCAAAAAAAACTGTTGAGTAGAGAAGCAAGTGTCTAACATTCGTCCAACGTTCTTCCCTCCCAACCCTCCACTACCACTACTAAACAGACATACGCTCCTCAGGTCCGTGAGTGAATGCCTGTCTGCGTAAAATATACCATTATAATTGCAAATCACTCTGATGTATAGTTAGACAAGCAACCCATGAGGCAGATCATAGGCTATGTTCCAATATCCACACTAGCAAACCACTTAGAATACATGCTTCATTTAATACATTACTTCATTCTAATTCTAACTCATGCTTCATTCTAAGTGGTGTTATTATGAAACCACATCAATTTCCTAACAGTACGCTAACAGACCCATAGATGAGAATGCTTTGCTGTGTGGCCTTTGCGATCTTACCTTACCAGAATTGTAACTACTCCTCTTTCCTCTCCCTCCTATATTTGTCTGTCTTCTTTCCTCTTTGATCCAGCAGGTCCAGTGTGATCGAGACCCAGCAGGTGAGGGTGACAGAGCTGGAGCTGGCTGCCCAGTCCCTGAGAGACACACTGAGGGAGAAGGAGAGAGAGATAGAGGACAGTATGAAAGAGATGAGGCGACAACAGGCCGACGGACACAGGTGGGGGCCGTTCACACACACATACACACATAAGCATGCACACACACACACAAGCATGCACACAAGCATGCATGCGCACACACACACACACACACAAACACTTACCCATTCCTACTTCTTAGTACACCTCTGAGCTGTAGTATGTTGTGAATCTAACCAATTATATTTTCCTTCTACAGGATCACTATAAAAGACAATGTGGACGTGATCCGCCTGCAAAAGCAGCTGTCAGACAAGAGCGCCGCCCTGCGTGTCAGCCAGGAGAAGTTCAACGTGTTGCAAGAGGTGGGGGACTCTCTCTACCTCGTTCATCTTTCTTTCACTTCATCATGATGAGAAACTGACAACCTCTACCCTGTTCTCTTTTTCTCTCCCTCTCTCCCTCCCCCTCTCTTTTTTCATCTCTAGGCTTATGAGGCTCAATTGGAAGAGGTAGTAACTATGAACAATCAATCAATAACATGACATAACTTGTATTGACCGTCTAAAATGCCATATGTCCACTAAAGGGTCAGAGGTCACTGAAGGAGAGCCAGGGGGCATTGCTGGAGAAGGTAGAGGAGCTGAGTGAACAACTGAAACAAGAGCGACAGAGAGCGCTGACACTGGAGGGACAGCTCACCACTACTACTCTTTCTAAGCAAGCCCTCGAGGAGGTACTGCAACGAGTCTGCAAGTAGTGGTGGAGGAAGTAGGTAGAAGTTGTCCCTCCCTACCCATTGATACAGGGCCCGACACTTCTAACTTTATACTATTCTATTCAGTTCCAAGAGAGAGTGTCAGACCTGGAAGGAGAGAAGAATCTACTGAAGGACAGCTATGACACACTCCTGGAGAGGTGAGTAATACCTTTGAATTAATTAACTATAGTAAATGGACTGACTGACTGACACTCTCTCTCTCTCTCTCTCTTTGATGCATCTCGATTCCCTTCCCCTCCTCTCTCTTATCTCTCTATATATATGTATCTCTATCTCCCTCTTCTTCTCTCTTCTCTCTCTTCTCTCTCTCTCTTCTCTTCTCTCTCTCTCCTCTCTCTCTTCTCTCTCTCTCTCTCTCTCTCTCTCCTCCTTCTCTCTCTCTCTCTCTCTCTCTCTCTCTCTCTCTCTCTCTCTCTCTCTCTCTCTCTCAGCACCTTATCTGCCCACAGTCATACAGAGGAGAAGGTGGACAGAGAGAGAGAGCTGGAAAAGGATAGGGAGAGAGAGAAAGAGGAGATCTGGAGGATGGATATAGAACGTCTTGAGGAGATTCTGCGAGTGGAGAGGGAGGAACGAGGGAGGCTGGAAGAGGAGAAAGAAAGGTTGCAACTGGACAAAGAGAGGATAGAGGAACAACAGGAGAGGGAGAGAGGTAAAGGAGAGAGATATTCAGTTCTATACTTCTTATTGGTAAAGCCAAGAGTTTCTTCTTGACCATGTGACCTGACCTAGGTTGTGTCCCAAACAGGGGCGGTGTGTTCATTAGGGCGATATGGGCGACGCACTGCCAAACGGGAAAAGCAAGGGATTTTTTTTCTAATCAATTATATCACGGCAACAGTAGTTATCAGTGTTCTAATCTAGACGTCTGATCTGCCACTAAATGTCCAATCAGGCTAAAGTCGTGCTTCAAATGGCCCCGCCCGTTTTGGGGCGATTTCAGTCAGGTTGAAAATCGCCCAGAAGTCTCTCATAGCCTCTCATGTAAAATCTATTTTTTTCAAATATCAGAGCTTTCAATACAATCTCTATGGGTTTCTGAGGGCTTGCACTTACGCGCTTTCGTCACACGTAACATAACCATGAACGTAACTAAGAAAAGAGCGGGTAGCAGCGTCAATCAATTCACGTACTACTTTCAAGATGGCTAGCGTTCAGTGCAACTCGATTGTCTCTTTGAAAGAAGTTCACATCAAAGAGACAACCACAAAGTGCAGGAGCGCTTTTTTGAGTTCCTTCCCATCTCGGAATCAACCTCAGTCTCAATCGCCAGTGTGCTTTTGGAGAGACTGAACGGTCTTTTTGCCGACGACGAGAAAGTCAAACTCATTGCGCAAGCTTACGATGGAGCCAGTGTGATGAGGCGAGAGAAGGCTGGTGTGCAGCAAAAGGTGCGTGAGCATTTCAAGAATGGCCATTACGTGCATTGCTATGCGCATCAGCTGAATTTGATCATGCAGCAAGCTAAAAAGTAACTAGTAAACTAGTCCTCAGCATGCCTGATTTCAATGAGAAAGTCATTGACCGCTTTGCTGCATTGAAAGAGAGAAGAGAACAGTTTCAGTACAAGTAATGTAGCCTCTCTCTCTCTTTGTCCCTCCCTGTCTGTCTCTTTAACACACACACGCCCAAATCAGTTCACAGTTGATGTTGTTTAAAATAGTTATTTTTCATTTTAAAAAAAGTAAACAATTTTTTTTACAAATCTATACAATTGGCCAGAATATGGTTGTTCATATTTACAAAGCCATACAGATAGCTGTGTTTACCTTTTCTAGAAATTATTTTCAAATTCTGTTTTCAGGCAAAATGTCTATCACTGTTCATTTTCACAAATATATACAAGAGGGCAGAATATGGAAGTCTATAAAAATTTCTTATTACCAATAACTTGCATCAATGTTTTCAGTAGCCTCTATCAAAAGCTCCTGCTTGCTTGTTGTGAATTATGCTCAGGTGCACATATTTCCAATTCAACCATGAGGCCTTTTTGAAGCAAGTAATGTGTATATCAGTATTGACTTATATGCTGCCCCTGTCTTCATGTTGTTGCTGGACATATCTTTTTTAAAATGTGTGTAGGTCACCTAAATCATCAGAAAAATTGCCCCCCCTGAGAATTTTTTCAGGAGCCGCCACTGGTCCCAAATGGTACACTGGCTATTCCCAATATAGTGCACTATTTTTAGTGCACTACATGCAGAATAGGGTGCCCTTTGGACAAAGCCCTGGCATATAACTAGGACCTAGGGTTTTTCCTGGTCAGGTCACGTGGTCTGGAAAAACTCTTGTTACTTATTGGGTATAAATTGTGTTATAAATATCATAGGCAGTCTATTTTGTAGTTTGACAATTATTTGTATATTAATTTTGATAGAGTCCGTTGAGTCGATTAGAGGAAAACATGATCGAATGGAACAAGAAGTTCTACAGTACAGACAGGAAGTCACATCACTGCAGGAGAGACTGGACTCAGTCACAAAGGTCAGAGGTTATTATTGACATGAATAACATGTTAATAATATGTTAATAACAACTTAATAATATATGTTATAAAACAGTTTTGCTCCCTTTTTTTTCGCTCTTTTTATTCTTTCCCTCCATTTCTCTTAGGAGTTTGACATGAGTGTTGAGGACCTCAGTGAAACCCTGATACAGATTAAGGTTAGTCCCTTCTCAGATTAGTTAAATAACGACAATATAACGACAACAACAATATAAGAGGTCCTTTAAACCTTATTCACTTTCTCTCTTACTGTGCATTTTTGTAATCCCTTTCGTAGGCATTTAGGCTACAGCAGGAGGGCCGTGAGGGTCTGCGGTTCCTCGGGATTGATGAGAAGGTAGAGGACTCATCCAGAGAGCTGAGGGACCTCCAGGCATCCCAAGCAGAGACTGTTTTAGAACTGCAGAAGACCAGAAACTTACTGTTACTGCAGCACCGCATCAATAACGATTTGCAGGTAGGCAGGTAGGCCCCCCCCCACCCCCTTCTTTGAGCCCACCCCTCTCTTTATTCATGTTTTGTTTAGTCTGATGTTTTGTTGTTTTTCTTTTTCATTTCTGTAACTGTAAAGCGACTTTGGGTCCTTGAAAAGCGATATATAAATCCCATGTATTATTATTATTATTATTATTATTATTATTAACACACACATGCAGGCATGCATGGACGCTTGCATACACACAAAGGTAATTATAAAGGTTATCTTACATACTCTCCTCTTTCCTTCCTTCCAACCATCTTATCCCGCTCTCCTCTGTTCTCTTTCCTATTCCTGTCCTGTCACAGGCTGAGTTCAGCACGATGAAAGAGAGAGCAGAAAGAGAGAGGGAGGAGACCAAGAGGAGGGTAGCGGAAAAAGATAAACTACTTGGAAGAAGAGCCCTGCAAATCAACACTTTACAAGGTAAGAAGAACGTGGTAACACTTTATTTGAAGGTACACATATTAGCCACTAATTTGTAGTTTATATGTGTGTACATTAGTAGCTTATAAGGTCTTTATAATGTCTTATTAGCCATATATTAGGTCTTAATTAAGTGTTTTCTAATTCAAACATTAAAAGTGATGTTTTACCGGCCAATCCTTAATAACCTCATTGTAAGCCATAATAAAGGCGTATTAATAGTAAATAAAGAGCAAGTTACACAAGAAACAGACTCTTAGTAAGCGGTCTCAATGTGGGAATAATAAGGGCATAGTACCTCAATATGTGTTCCCTACTCTAAAGTGTGACGACTTACAATATTTGAATAAGATATCACTAATTCATTCAAATGGTATCTAAATAATTATTCTTTAAAGGAATAATCCACTCAAAAACGATCTTGCGTATTTTTTTCATTAGTCTACTGTTGATACAGTCCCAAAATGTTTTGCATGTCAGCAGTCAAGTTTTCAAGATATAGGATTTTCAAGAAGCAAAGTGTAATGCCGCGTTCACATGCTAGTCGGAACTCTGACATTTCTGACTTGCTGATTCGTTGAACGCGGCACATGTATAACTACAACCAGTTAGCAAGTTGGACATTTCAGAGTTTCCTAGTTCCGACTAGCATGTGAACGCGGCATTATTTGCCACATCATCATGATGATGCATTTTGCATCATATGATCCCTTTTCCTGATGATGTGGCAAGTTACACTTTTATTTTTAAAAGTCCAATATCTTGAAAACTTGACTGCTGACATGCAAAACATTTTGGGCAGAAACGAAAAAAATACACAATATAGTTTTTGAGTGGATTATTCCTTTAATATCAAAAATTAAATTGAGAGTTATCTACTAAAGCTCAGCTCAACGAGTTTAAAATCACTTTTTTTTTTCTTCTTCTTTAAAGCCCAGCTGAAGGAGTTAGCCTACAGCCCAAGGAACTACAAACGGAACATACCACTACAGTACACCTGGCCGGGGGGGGACCAGGAAGTAGTACAGCCCATTGAAGACGACACCACTTTCTCTCAACTACGAGCGGGGGAGTCCCTTTTGGAGATCCACCTCAGGGGGGCAGCTTTCACCCCTGGGGGGCTATGGACCATGGGGGGCACCCGGGAAGGGACTGGGTCAAAGGGCGCAGAGGTTGTGACCTTTTGCACCTACGCCCTCCTGGACTTTGAAATGCACTCCACACCTCTGGTTTCGGGAGGGCAGCCCAACTACGGGTTCACATCAAAGTACCCCCTCTCTGCCCGTGATTTGGGGAGGCTGGGGGGTCAGGGGGGAGGGGTGCTGGTGGAGCTGCATCAGGCATTGGGAGGTGTGCGTTTTGTGACCCAAGGGAGGGTGCAAGTGCCACTGGTTGGAGCGGTAGAGAGGAGAGGGGAGCGGGTGAGCGGACGAGTCAACATCGCAGGTAAGTCTTAGCATCACCTGGTGTTATTATATTGCAGCAATAACGGTTTCAGCTATCATGGATCAACCACTGTTATAGCCACAATTGTGACTTTATTATGTGTTCTAATGTGCATCATTATTAGCAGACACTATGCGAGGCCATGCAAATGTGGGCCAGTAGAACTGAAACATTAGATACCAATAATATGACATACTGTGTAAACCAGTATGATTGCACCCATCACTGAGACTCACTTATTATCCCTTGAAGGCTCTAAGGGAGATGTCATAGGGATCCTGGACTTCTGGGTGCGTCTCTTCCCTCCTGCGGAGCCCATGGACACACTGATAGAGAGAGGAATGGACAGAATGACAGAGAGAGGAGCAGACAGACGGATAGCGAGAGGAACAGACAGACTGATGGACAGAAAGACCATCAGTCCACAGAGACAGTGGAGTCCCACCTGGGCCCAGAGAGCTCTAGGCTTGGAGGACAGTATGCATGAGGTAGGCTACTGAGACAATCTTACAACAGGTCTGTCATTTAAAATCCCTAGGTTTTATAGAAATCCTACTTGGAAGATTTCCTGATTTCCAGCTTATTCCCTCCTGATTCCAGGAATCTTCCAACTGGGATTTCTGTAAAACCTGGGAATTTGGGGAAAGTTACCGGAATTTTGCAAGCTCTGCTCTTAAAAGACCAAAGAATCATTGGGTGGTTGAATTCATGCAGAGCCCAATGTTATTTTCCACTACAGCAGGAACTATTTGACTATGGCGGAGGGATACCCAACGAGCTGGAGGTGGTGCTGGAGCGTTGCGTGGGCCTCAGCGCCCGCTGGCCGGGACTACTTCCGGACGCCTACCTCATCTACCGTCTCTACGACCTGCCGCCTCACGCTTCCCCTACAATACCGTGCAGCGCCGACCCGCTGTTCAACGACACGGTCAGCTACCCTCTGGCCGTGACCACTGACGTTCTGGAGTACCTAAGAGGGGGCAGTCTTTGGGTCTATGTGTTCGACGACAGTGATGATCAGACTCCACCTGCTTACCTGGCCAAGACACCCATACCGCTCCGCCCCCTGGCAGCAGGACGACCTATCAGAGGTGAGAAAATGACAGTTGTCATCAACCCTAATCCTACCCTATCTATCCCCAATTCTGTAGAGCTACAGGGTGCCCTTGATTAGATACGTCAGGTGTCTTAGTGCTGAGCTGGAGTAAAACCCTGCAAACCCTTAAACTCTTCACATTGTTAAAGACAAAATAGATCATATTGATTCATAATACCACAAACAAAATAGTCTCACCTTCATGCTCTGACCTCTCAGGTGACTCATACTATAGGTCTGTGGTTCCCAAACTGTGCCCCCCCCCTGGTTCCCAAACTGTGCCCCCCCCTGGTTCCCAAACTGTGCCCCCCCTACGGAACTCAGTATGACTTTCAACTTACTCCTGAAAGTTGTAATAGTAGAATGCACAAGGTGCATCAGCAGTTTTCCTCTTGTAATGTCAGTCATTGCAGACCTTAGAGAGCTATTTATAACTTGTCCGAAATGTCCAGATCAACTAGCCCATGTCAGCTAACATCTTTTAGATAGGTTTTTTTGCCCATTGATTTTGTTGTAATGTTTGAGTGACTCAAATATCACATGAACACACATAAGACATGGCAAAATGTATATAATTGCAGGAAATAAGCTTTCAACCTGCAGAATGTTCTCTCCGTAAACAAGAGGGGCATGAACAGTTTGTGTCATGAAGCTGATCCTAGATCTGTACCGTGGGGAAACTTTAGTCGTACCCCGGAGCCATGCTTCCTTCTGTACCTTGCTTCCATCTGTACCTTGCTTCCTTCCTTCCTACCTCCCTTCTTTCATTCAGTCCTTCCTTACTCTCAGGTGACTACGTTCTGAGGGACACGGGTGGCGGTCCGCGGGGGATGGTCCGCGTGTTCATACGATGGATGTACCCCTTCCAACCACCAGAGGGCAGCACCCAAAGACACAAGGAGACGGACAGGGTGGAGAGAGCGATGGAGAGGAGGAGCGAGAGAGCGGAGGAACTGCCGAGGCCTATTGCCAAGCCTAGAGTGAAGGTATGGTTCAAATTTCACTTTTACATAGAAATATATTAGATAGACAGGTCACATTAATTGTTAGCATCTCCTTTCTCTTACAACCTTTTTCTACCTCTCTTTATATTCTCCTTATTTCAGTTGAAGGTTGTTGAGCCCAGAGTGGACAGATCTGCTGCACAAAAAGAGACCAACATTCAGGTATGGCACACATTTGCACACAAACAACCAACCATTATCATCTGAACACGCAACAAAGTATATGCTCTATTATGAGATTTGAAAAACTCAGAGATACTGAGTTATCACTCTCTGTACCTGTTTGCCCAAGCCCCGGCCTCCACCAATCAAACTGCGACTACCCCAACCCGATGCCCAATTAGAGCGAGCCACACCTGTGACATCACCGGAACCAAGTGGCGCCACACCCCTCCAGTCTCCAGCGAGAAAACGGGCCACACCTCTTAGATCACCTGCTTACCAAGCCACACTCCTTCTGACACCTGGGACGAGTCAAGCCACGCCCTCCCAGTCACCCGCCAGGAAGCGGGGGACCGCTATGAGGCTACCTGAGGTCAGAGGTCAGAGTTTGCCTGTGTCAGAGTTGACCCCATCTCGACCTGACTCAGCTCGTTCCACCAGGAGCTCCGCCAGCGATGATAAGAGCTATGTTAAGGTGAGTGGATATAGATTGTATAGCGAACATGTGAATGCAGATAATGGCCATAAGCAATGCTAACATGTAGGAAAGATCATAGGGAACAAATGCAGTTGCAAAAGCAGGATCACATTTAAAAGGTGTGTATAAGACTAAAGGGACTGCAAGGAATAGAGATGCAGTATAATGATTTGATCATCATACCTTAAGTGAACGTTTGACATCTTTATCTCTTCCTCCCTCTCAGGACATCCCCTCACTGGAACAGGTGTCTATGGAAGAGGAGGAGGAGGAGCAGGAGGAGAAAAGTGACAAAGGTGATAATTAAATACAGTGCTATCTATATCCTATTTAAGAACAATAAAGTACTCTTGTCCTGGAGTTGAATAAGAATATCCTGATGTCATGAACAGTCATTCGTTCTACTTCCCTCTGTAGCCCAAGTGGATAGTGAGGTCATGGAATCCAGAGAATCAACGACCTCCAACCGTAGTGACGTCATCATTATTCCTCCATCTTCAAGGAGAATCAGAAAGGTAAGAATTAATCAATCAATGAATCAATAAATTGGGTCTGGTGACCAACTGATTGATTTAGGCAAGAATGAGAAAAATAGAAAATATACAGTACCAGTCAAAAGTTTGGACACACCTACTCATTCAAGGGTTTTTCTTTATTTTTACTATTTTCTACATTGTAGAATAATAGTGAAAACATCAAAACAATGAAATAACACATATGGAATCATGTTGTAACCAAAGAAGTGCTAAACAAATCAAAATATATTTTATATTTGAGATTCTTTAAATAGCCACCCTTTGCCTTGATGACAGCTTTGCACACTCTTGGCATTCTCTCAACCAGCTTCATGAGGAATGCTTTTCCAACAGTCTTGAAGGAGTTCCCACATATGCTGAGCACTTGTTGGCTGCTTTTCCTTCACTCTGCCGTCCGACTCATCCCAAACCATCTCAATTGGGTTGAGGTGGGGGGTTGTGGAGGCCAGGTCATCTGATGCAGCACTCCATCACTCTTCTTCTTGGTCAAATAGCCCTTACACAGCCTGGAGGTGTGTTGGGTCATTGTCCTGTTGAAAAACAAATGATAGTCCCACTAAGCCCAAACCAGATGGGATGGCGTATCGCTGCAGAATGCTGTGGTAGCCATGCTGGTTAAGTGTGCCTTGAATTCTAAATAAATCACAGACAGTGTCACCAGCAAGCACCATCACACCTCCTCCTCCATGCTTCACGGTGGGAACCACATATGCAGAATTCATACGTTCACCTACTCTGCCTCTCACAAAGACACACGGTTGGAACCAAAAATCTCCAATTTGGACTCCAGACCAAAGGACAAATTTCCACCGCTCTAATGTCCATTGCTCGTGTTTCTTAGCCCAAGCAGGTCTCTTATTATTATTAGTGTCCTTTAGTAGTGGTTTCTTTGCAGCAATTTGACCACGAAGGCCTGATTCACACAGTCTCCTCTGAACAGTTGATGTTGAGATGTGTCTGTGACTTGAACTCTGTGAAGTATTTATTTGGGCTGCAATTTATGAGGCTGGTAACTCTAATGAACTTATCCCCTGCAGCAGAGGTAACTCTGGGTCTTCCATTCCTGTGGCGGTCCTCATGAGAGCCAGTTTCATTATAGCGCTTGATGGTTTTTGCAACTGCACTTGAAGAAACATTCAAAGTTCTTGAAATGTTCCGTATTGACTGACCTTCATGTCTTAAAGTAATGATGGACTGTCGTTTCTCTTTGCTTATTTGAGCTGTTCTTACCACAATATGGACTTGGTCTTTTACCAAATAGGGCTATCTTTTGTATACCCCCCTTACCTTGTCACAACACAACTGATTGGCTCAAACACATTAAGAAGGAAATCAATTCCACAAATTAACTTTTAAGAAGGCACACTTGTTAATTGAAATTCATTCTAGGTGACTACCTCATGAAGCTGGTTGAGAGAATGCCAAGAGTGTGCAAAGCTGTCATCAAGGCAAAGGGTGGCTATTTGAAGAATCTCAAATATAAAATTTATTTTGATTTGTTTAACACTTTTTTGGTTACTATATGATTCCATATGTGTTATTTCATAGTTTTGATGTCTTCACTATTATTCTAAAATGTAAAAAATAGTAAAAATAAAGAAAAACCCTTGAATGAGTAGGTGTGTCCAAACTTTGACTGGTAGTGTACATCCTACGTTTTTCTATGATTTTCATTTGTAAATACAATGGCTGAAAAAAGTTTCAGAAATCTTATTTCTGTGTTTCAGGGAGACAAGTTGAGAGTGGAGATTCTCTCTCTCTCTTTTGAGCCCACCTCCCGAGTGGCTCTGGACGAATCAGTGCAGCGCGTCTATGTGGAGTACCGCCTCCTGGGAGTTCCCATGGAAACCACGGAGACACCCATGTCCCTCCGTAAACCAACGGACGGGGAGGAGATACATTACAACTTCACACGAGGTGTGTGTGTGTGTATTTGGACTGGTGTGGGTATTGATGCCACTATTGTAATGCAGGTATCAGCTCACTCAAATTCCCTGTCTCACCATATATTCTTTATTTCCCTCCATTCTCCCCTTCTCCCAGTCATCTATGTGGACAGCTCTGAGGCAGCCCCACTCAGACGGTACCTGTACACCATGCTGGAGGGAACTGACCCCAACCAGGGCAGGTGAGAGAGAGAGAGAGAGAGAGAGAGAGAGAGAGAGAGAGAGAGAGAGAGAGAGAGAGAGAGAGAGAGAGAGAGAGAGAGAGAGAGAGAGAGAGAGAGAGAGAGGAGAGAGAGAGAGAGAGAGAGAGAGAGAGAGAGAGAGAGAGAGAGAGAATGATACCATTACATTCCAGCCATTACTATGACCCCATCACCAGGCATCACTGGATGATACCCATGAATGTGTATGTGCCATTTTCAATAGTGTCAATACATGCTATAATGTGTGTGTCTACCCAGGTTGAAGTTCACAGTGGTCAACGAGCCAATGGATGATGATGATGACGAGGAGTGTATCGACGTTGGCCACGCTTTCCTGGACTTACAGGAACTGCTGCTGACAGGAAATGACATCACCGAGCGGCAGATTGACAGTGAGATTCTATATTTCTATTGTTGTAAATATTTCTGTGACATATTCTAAAATTTCTCCTCCCTTATGCATTGCAATTCTTACTCTACTCACCCCTCTCTATCTCTACCACTACCACTCCTCCTTCTCTTCCTCTCTCCTGCTCTCCATCTCCCCCTCTCTCTCTCCTTCCCACTCATTCTCCCCCTCCCCTCTCCATCGCTCTCTCTCTCTAAATAGTTGTCAGTGTGGATGAAGAGAAAGAGGTGATGGGAAAACTCAAGGTCTCTCTGGAAGCGGCAAAGACTTTGACTGGGATATACTGGGACTATCGCCGGAAGAGAGATGAAGAGACCAAGAAGGATGAAGAGAACGACGAGAAGGAGGAAGAGAAGGAAGAGAAGGAGGAAGAGGAGGAAGAGAAGGAAGAGAAGGAAACATTGAAGAAAGAAGATGAAATACAAGTGATAGATTATGACATTGATGATGATGACAGTGACTTTTACTAAAAGTGGAAATATGAAAATTATATCATGAAACAGATAGGAATTGTGGTCCATGTGAATAGATTGTGTGACTGACAAACTGACCACTATTAAATAAAGAATATATTGAATGAGAATAAAAGTCTGACCTTGTATAATAAAACATATTACTGTCTGATCATGTTATTATTTTTCGGTGTGTAAACTAACTAAATACGGTATAAATAATATTTGTAGAAACTTGTAGAAATAGAGATCAAACTGCATCTTAAAAATAGCTGCTTGTTTGTTTGATCAATGAGTCCTATGGCAATGATACTGTGTATCAGCTCGTTATGATCACAGTGACTTTAATTTACTACCATCTACTGGACAAATGTGGTCATTTTGACCGAATGGCCCTATTTACGACCTGTCATAATAAATACGACGCGCGCTCCGCCAAATTCAAATTCACACATGAAAAATTCCACGCGGTGAATGGTTTGCAGATGTAAATCATCGGACTCAAAGATTAGCCGCATTTCGATGCCTTTTCGACTTAAAATTATCACAGTATTTTGTCAAACCATAGAGAACTTATTGTCCAACGTTCGACTAATGCTAGTTGCAAATACTTTTATGTTGATGGATTCTCGCAATGCTGGTGGAATTTGAGTTCTCATTCCCTGTCTTGCTCGCTAGCTAGCTAGCTACTTACTAATGGCTAGCAATACAGGTGCAAATTGGTGTTGCAATTAATTAGCATTCGAATGACTAGTCATATTTTCAATAACATTAAAGACGAGGATTGTTGTGGCAGAAGAATCACGTACAAAAACTGCATATTTAACCAAACCGCTCTGGAAAATCAAGTTGCCAGCAATCTGCATTCTCTTTTTTAGCTCCCAAAATGGCTTGCTAACGTTAACTAACTATAGTAACGTTAGCAGCCAACTAATAATTTGATAATTTGGACAATAACTAGATTATTCAGACCAGGGCCAGGGGTGTCCTGGTTAAGACAGGTTTGACTTCAACCACCTGCCTACATTTATTAATTTTAATAGCTAAATCAAGATAATTCAAATTCAACTGAACATGGTAAGTAAGCATGTTGACCTGGTTGATTGCTCTGGTCCAGTTTGTTAGTGTGCGTTCCTTCACTATTGGAGGAACGCGCACTAACGCCTTGGACCAGAGCTAACCCGATACATTATCAAATAGTTATCATCCTTGTTAATAACAGTCTGAATGAGTTGCCAAATAGCGGTTTGTCCTGCCTAACAATGTGTGTTAGCTTTATGTGGGGTTTGCAACAATTGGAACCCATGCATTGGTGACTATTGAAGTGAGTAGGCTAATTCCCAGCAATGTCAATGAACACACCACTAACTATAATGGCTACTCGGGCATCTGAAACTCTGATTCAATCAGTTATCACACAATTTGAAATGAATGTCTGATATGCACTCCTATAAATATTGGTGACCTAATCTGTACGTTAATGAACAGAGGGAGAACATGAAGGCTGTGAGCCAGCAGCAAGCCAGCCAGCTCTTACACAACAAGTTTGTTGTTGTCCTGGGGGACTCCAGTAAGTGTACAAACCAATGTATGTCAGTGGTTCAATCTTTAATCTCTAGACCCAAGAAGTCCTAGCCCAGGGGTATCAAATCTTACCCTACGAGGTCCAGATACTGCTGGTTTTCTGTTCGACCTGTTAATCAATTGCACCCACCTGGTGTCCCAGGCCTAAATCAATGCCTGATTAGAGGGAAACAAATAAATACAAACAAAAAAAGCAGTTGAACTGGCTTGGCTTTAGGGGTCCAGATTTGAATTTGAGTCCTAGCCTGTGGTTATCACATTGAATGTGCAGTGCACCCCTTGGATGACAAATTGCCAACTGAACTTACATTGACATTGGCAGTCAATGTCCATAATTTGTGTTCTCCACAGTTCAGCGCTCAGTGTATAAGGACATTGTGCTTCTGCTGCAAAAGGACAAATATCTCAGCTTGGCTCAGCTCAAGACTAAGGTAAACCTTGACTCACAGATTTGGTAGGTGAAAGGGAGATCTGCCATGCAACATTTCTAGAAATACATTTGGTCTATAGATTAGGGCTGGGCGATATATTGTCTTTTAAGGTATAACGGTATGGATCCACATAACGGTATGGATTTTTACAATACTGTCTATAAAGGTATTATCATACAGTGCTAAATAAATGATAACTTCACTGTCAGTTTTGTCATAGTTTGGTTGAGTGTGAAAAACATTTGATTGAAGAAAGCCCATTAAAACCACTTAGAATTGCACTACTCATAAAACCGAGAACTTGTATTATTCAGAAACATAAAATACTATCATAACGCCATACTGTAAAAGATAAGAAAAATATTGTGATATGATATTTTGTCCATATCGCCCAACCCTATAGATACATTCTATCTCTATTGCAATATTTTTGCAGCTTTGCTTTCAATGCGGCCTAACAAACAGATCCATGATTTGCCCCCCGAGTGGCGCAGTGGTCTAAGGCACTGCATCGCAGTGCTAGCTGTGCCACTAGAGATCCTGGTTCGAATCCAGGCTCCGTCGTAGCCGGCCGCGACCGGGAGACCCGTGGGGCGGCGCACAATTGGCCCAGCGTCGTCCAGGGTAGGGGAGGGAATGGCCGGCAGGGATGTAGCTCAGTTGGTAGAGCATGGTGTTTGCAACGCCAGGGTTGTGGGTTCGATTCCCACGGGGGGTATGAATTTTATATATTTTTTAAATAATAATGTATGCACTCACTAACTGTAAGTCGCTCTGGATAAGAGCGTCTGCTAAATGACTAAAATGTAAATGTAATGATTGATTTAATTATACCAGGACTAAAGTGGCTTCTCCTAGCTTCTTCCACCACCCCACCCTCTCTCTCTTCCCCACCCTCTGTCCCCCCCCCTCCCTATCTACCCCCTCATCACCAGGGAGAGATGAGCTTCGAGCAAGACATCCTGGTGGAGGGCGGACGGCTGGGTCAAATGACCAATGGGACGGAATACCGTGAGGTGCGTCAATAGGATGAGAAAAAGGAGAAGACGGTGAATCTTTAGGAAGTATACCTGCACTGGGAGCCAAATGGAACTCTCAGTGAATGGCCCTAAATGACGCAATTATAACTCTTGGCATCCATGTGCACTTCCTGATCTCTTATGACATCTAGGTGCGTCAGTTCCGGTCAGACAACCACCTGGTGCGGTTCTACTTCCTGACGAGGATCTACTCGCGCTACATGCAGAGCATCCTGAGGGACTTCGAACACGGTCTCAAACCAGACGTCGTCATCGTTAACTCCTGCATCTGGGACGTCTCCAGGTGACCAGTCTATTAAGGAAGACTGCAGGTTTCACACACACACTTATTTCTTCTAACATTCATGATGCCTACTAGGTCTGTTTTATAGTGTTCACACTGTTAATCTTCTCAATCTGAAACCTCCAATAATAAGAAAAGGCAGTAATCAACTAAAAGACAATATGAGGACAGTCCATGTGCTTATGGATAGTTGCTATTTTCCTTTCATGTCTTCAAATCTGAAATAACAAGTTTAAGGTGGAAATGTCATATTGCTGAAAACAAAAAAGCACTCATTGTACAAGTAGATAATAATGAGCGAAGATAATGAATCAGTTCCATTTCCCCTTACTGGTGATGTGGGTGGAGCTAAATCTATAGTCCTGTATCATTGGTCAAACGCATATCCTTTCCAAACCAAGCCTTCAAAATAAGAGTTTGGTGTGTTGTGCGACATCTTGGTGTTAGTTACAGATGCCAATGCTGAATAAGCCATTAGACTGAATGGTTTTATTGGTTCTGTAGGGATGTGTAATGGACTCTTGGTTTCTTCTTATGGTAAAGTGTTTTATGTTTTTGTTGCCGTGGCTGTTGACTTTGCATTGCCTCCTTGAGGGCTGGCTGCTGCAGGCATAGCTTTAGGCTATTGCCAAGCTACAGTGCATTCGGAAAGTATTCAGATCCCTTGACTTTTTCCACATTCTGTTACATTACAGCCTTATTCTAAAATGGATGATAAAAAAATGGTTTACCCTCATGAGAGCCAGTTTCATTCTAGCGCTTGATGGTTTTTGCGACTGCACATGAGGAAACTTTCAAAGTTCTTGAATTTTTCCGGATTGACTGATCTTCATGTCTTAAAGTAATGGACTGTCATTTCTCTTTGCTTATTTGAGCTCTTCTTGCCATAATATGGACTTGGTCTTTTACCAAATAGGGCTATCTTCTGTATACCCCCCTTACCTTGTCACAACACAACTGATTGGCTGAAACGCATTAAGAAGGAAAGAAATTCCACAAATTAACTTTTAAGAAGGCACACCTGTTAATTGAAATGCATTCCAGATGACTACCTCATGAAGCTGGTTGAGAGAATGCCAAGAGTGTGCAAAGCTGTCAAGGCAAAGGGTGGCTATTTGAAGAATCTCAAATATAAAATATTTTGATTAGATTAACACTTTTTTGGTTACTACATGATTCCATATGTTATTTCATAGTTGAGGTCTTCACTATTATTCTACAATGCAAAAATTTAAAAAAATAAAGAAAAACCCTTGAATGAGTAGGTGTGTCAACTTTTGACTGGTAGTGTAAAAAATGTTTTGTATTCAGACCCTTTACTCAGTACTTTGTTGAAGCACCTTTGGCAGCGATTACAACCTCAAGTCTTCTTGGGTATGGCGCTACAAGCTTGGCACACCTGTATTTGGGGAGTTTCTCCCATTCTTCTCTGCAGATCCTCTCAAACTCTGTCAGGTTGGATGGAGAGCGTCGCTGCACAGCTATTTTCAGGTCTCTCCTGAGATGTTCGATCGGGTTCAAGCTCTGGCTGGGCTACTCAAGCAACTCCTGCGTTGTCTGGGCTGTGTGCTTAGGGTTGTTGTCCTGTTGGAAGGTGAACCTTCACCCCAGTCTAAGGTCCTGAGCGCTCTGGAGCAGGTTTTCATGAAGGATCTCTCTGTACTTTGCTCCGTTCATCTTTCCCTCGGTTCTGACTAGTCTCCCGGTCCCTGCCGCTGAAAAACATAGCCAAAGCATGATGCTGCCACCACCATGCTTCACTGTAGGGATGGTGCCAGGTTTCTTCCAAACGTGACGCTTGGCATTCAGGCAAAATAGTTAAATCTTGGTTTCATCAGACCAGAGAACCTTGTTTGTCATGGTCTGAGAGTCCTTTAGGTGCCTTTTGGTGAACTCCAAGCAGGCTATCATGTCCAATCAATTGAATTTACCACAGGTGGACTCCAATCAAGTTGTAGAAACATCAAGGATGATCAATGGAAACAGGATGCACCAGAGCTCAATTTCAAGTCTCACAGCAAAGGGTCTGAATACTTATGTAAATAAGATATTTCAGTTTTTTATTTTTAATACATTGGCAAACATTTCCATAAACCTGTTTTTGCTTTGTCATTATGGGGTATTATGTGTAGATTGAGGATTTTTATTTAATCAATTTTAGAATAAGGCTGTAACGCAACAAAATGTGGAAAAAGTCAAGGGGTGTGAATATTTTCCGAATGCACTGTATATATTACGCTAAGGATCTCTTAGAATCTTATGCCGATTTTCTTTATTTTAGGCTCAAAAGAAGTGTCCCCCTCTTACATCCGGTAGGCCTCTTTATATTTCGCTGTGTTTTGTATGTCTTCATAGTTGTTGTGCTTTGGAAAGGCACTGTAGTGCCGCCCTATAAAACGGACCCCCAGCCTGTCTCAAAGTCATTCATAGTCTTACCTAGCCTATCAATCACAATGTCCAGAAGACGCAGACAACCACCAGCTGCCCTGTCCGCAGGCGCCGCCGTCCCAGTCCAGGCATCGCAGGAGTGAAGGTCGCGGGAGGCGTTAGACAGCCCGGGTAACCTACGTGCTCTAACCGCCCCCTCGCCGGTTCTCCTCCCAACCCGACCCCTCGTGTAGAGTCAGAGTAGAGCAGGACTGTCCGGCATACCAGCTTTGCGAATGCCGCCCTTCGGGACTGCGATACTCCCATGGCTCGCAGCACTTGGTTGTTGCGACTGGGCCACTTACCCCTGGCCCCTACCGGGCCTGCTTAAATAAAATGTGGTTTTAACTAATACTATTACGACTTTGACCTGTTATTGTTAATGGTTTATAAGTTTGTTTTAAGCAGTAGAAATATCTAAAGGTTTATAATGTAGGCCTGATTTTCATGAACCATAATAGAGGGAAATCATTATTAATATATAACAGTTAAAATGGCCAAGAAGTAGCCTACTATAATGTAGGTCTATTACTTTTTTTGAGGACAGACACAATTAAAACATTTACACATTGAATTATTGTTTCTGTAGGGCCTATAAGCTAACATCAATAAATGGGCACATTTGAAAACAATAGGCGTAGAGCCACTTGGACCATGAGAACGAATCTTTCCCCAAAATAGCTTTTCTGGCCTTCCCTTCCCATTTTCAACTCTCCATTCGCAGCTTTTCTCTTACTGAATTAAACATGTTAATGCCACTGAATAGTGGCTACAAAGCACAATAAGGCTGACGTCAAACGCCATAACAGCTACACAGTGAATGCAAACGCAGGACAAAACAGCGATCAAAACTACATAATGCATTGAAATAAAAGGCATAAATTAAAGGATTAGTTACACTAATCAAGGGAGACAAAGAAACTTGACTGAACAAATGGCGAAATCAGGAAGTAGGCCTAGACTACAAAGGAAAATTCCACGTTTTTAAAGGGAGCCGAGGCCACGCCTGGCTTTATTCAGCACGGCGTAATGGACAGCACCTCTCCTGCATCTCCACTCATTGTCACAGGTATGCCTATAGCGAAGCTCCGTGGTGCTGAAATGGACAACGCCTCTGTTCAGTTGGCAATAGATACTGTATCTCCACTTTTGGGGATTTTTTGACAGGTTATAGGCACAGTTCAATACACCGACATTGTCGTTTTTGCCTCAGTAGATTAATGTGAACTTTTTCTGACCAGAAAGTTGACGCAACTGAGTGGCTGCAAGGGGGATTTTTTTTGGGGGTGGGCCCACTAACCTAAATGGAATAGTATGCTTAACCTTGGTATTATATATATGGCTTAAAACACATAACCACCTTTAGGGGCATACACTTGTAGCCTAAGCTTGCCAAACATATATCATAATCCTTTGCTTTCACAACAAACTTTCACAACATACAACTCTTATTTTGAAAGCTAGGTTGGATAGGATATGCAAATGCCCAATGAGATGGGACTACATATTTAGCCCCACCCACATCACCAGTAATGAGAAATAGAACCATTTACTCTCATTATTTTGAAAAACTGTGCTTTTTAGTTTTTGGCAATATGTAGGCTAGTCAGTGGCGATTTTAGCATATAAAGCTTGGTGGGGCAAAAAAACACATGTGGGATGCATGCCAGCAAAGCCACAACACTAAACAATACATTAATTGCACTGTTAGGGCCTACATAAAGCTGTCACAACAGCAGAGTCCCAACACCTTACCACTGCTACACCTGGCTATCAGCTGAGCCTTGTCTGGCAGCGAAACAGTTAATTCAGCCTCATTTACCTACTTTTAAAAACACACAGCTGATATGGCTGACTTCCTTTAAACAAATGTGGTTTCTACTGACAATTGAGATGTACAAACTATGGCATAAGGTGATGACAAGCGGATAAGAGGCAATCCGTAATTTCGATTAAGACATTAATGAGCGAGCTAGGATGGACGTAGGGAATATAACTATTTGTTCAGCACTTTTGAAATGTACAGAGACAGAATTCAGAACATGGGCCGTTCTTACATTATTCTCCCTGTACGCCAAGTCAGAACCGAAGGATAAATTAAGGGGGCATATAAGCAGACAATGAAAGCTATTAAAATATTAGATGATTTACAATTCTCTAAAATAGGTTATAGGTTACATGTGCACCACCAAGTCAGAACAGTAGGCGAAATTAAGAGGTGAAAATATACCAAATTATTAGGGTGAGGCACATGGGCTACTAACAGCTTACTACACAACATACACTTAGTATTACTTTCTTAGCTACAGTATACATATCTCCCTGGCATATGTCATAATTTATACAGCAGCATATAATACATTTTAGGACTCAACTTGTTGTGATGTGCTCACTTGAACAGTAAGGTGGCGCGGCGGTCCTTCGTGGGCAAATGTTGTCATCAAAGAAAGAGAAAGGGGCCGGATTTACAATTCCAGTTGGATGACCGTTCAAAACGCATTTTCCCAGTCTGAGCTCGTTTATTCCCGACTTCCCAGTTGCAATGCTTGCAGTTAGCCACTGTCACCGATTCCGTCCAATCCACTCGTTGAATTTGCAATTTCCAACTTGTTGTGTAATGTTTATGGCCGATTAGCACCGACACATTTTATCTATAATTTATCTTCATTATTTATCTTCATATGACAAGGATTAAAAAGGATTTGCCAGTAGATTGTCGACTTGATTCATGATGACTGCTAGCTAAGATTTTGAAAGTAAGTTGTTGACATGATCAGTCCAGTCAAAGCTACTGTACATATATGGGGCGGCAGGTAGCTTAGTGGTTAAGAGCGTTGTGCCAGTAACCGAAAGGTCGCTGGTTCTAATCCCCGAGCCGACTAGGTGAAAAATCTGTCGATGTGCCCTTGAGCAAGGCACTTAACCCTAATTGCTCCTGTAAGTCGCTCTGGATAAGAGCGTCTGCTAAATGACTAAAATGGAAATGGAAAAATATAACGTGATTTGACATCATTTTATCTGTGGCCAATGACCTTGAGCCTTCTTGGAAGGGCACTTCTAATGTAATGCTATGGCAGGACCCAAAGGGCTAGAATTTTGGATGTCTACCCTTACTAAGGATTTAGACTTGGCAGTGACGTAGTGTCCCCATGAGTGACAGAACACTGAGCCAATCACAGTGCAACGCTCCTATTTCGTGCTGGCTTGCCGCACCACCACAGAAAGCACTGAGCTAGGCTGAAACACCTGCATTTTGGAGCTGCCTTACTCAAGAAAACAAAAAAAGACCATGTTTGTATGCGGCTTTATTAACTAAATTGTTTTTTTTATTAATTACATTGTTTGCAAACTGATGTGACACTTATTAATGACAAAATAACATGCAAAACAGGCAAGCCCCCCCCCCCCCCCCCCCCCCCCAAAAAAAAAAAAAAAAGTGCCGCAAAATAGTTGCCACCACTCCCAGAAAATATGGTAAAAAGTTTATCTTTGAGAACTAACGTTCACCAAAATGAAAAACTGGACAGTCAGGGAGAATCTATTTATTTTTTTATTTTTTTATTAATTATTTTAATTACTTTTTTAATTGGCATAAAACCATGGCAAAATGTGTATAATTGCAGGAAATTAGCTTTAAAACAGCAACATATTTCTCTGCGGCCAAGAGGGCCTATAAAATCTGCAGTCGTAGACCGCTCCATTGTCCACAGCCACTACTACGCTGCTGCTGAAAAATATCCTAGGGGAACACTGAAGTGTGAAGTTAAATTCAATGTGTTGTATTGGGTAGAGGTGTGAATATCAGGGACAGGTTTTTGTGCAGCTCAAACGGGAACAGGGGGCAGGGCTAACCCCGTGGTATCCCAATACTACTCGGTATCGTGATACTTGGCCTGGTATCACAATAGAGCAAAATGTTGGTATTGTGACAACTTCATCCTGAAAATAGGCACATTTACTTGCAGTTTTTCATGGATTTTTCGTGTGCACATTTGTTACTTTTTTTTGGGCCCTCACCAGTTTGTGTCCCTGGTCTTGTCTTGACTCCTCACCCAGGTATAACCCTAAATGGCACGTTGAGTACAAGGAGAACCTGCACAAGTTCTTTGAGAAGATGAACTCCATCCTGCCTCCTGAATGTCTGGTCCTGTGGAACATGACCATGCCCCTGGGGAAGAGGATCGTAGGGGGCTTCTTCATTCCTGAGGTAGATGACGAGGCAGGGTCGTGTTCAATAGGCACGGAATTGGAACAATCTTGATATACTACCCAAACTTTAATGCTTATTTTTGGTTTTCCATTTTCAGAATGTTTGCTCCTATTGAATGTGACCCAGTAATTGCCCAATTATAGTAAATGATGTACAATGCACAACAACAATGGTTACTGTAAAAACCTACACTGAGACGCTAAAGAACTATTATAGCTTACCCTTTAATTTCTCCTAACCAGATCGAGCAGAGGGGCCCAACGCTGTGCTACGACGTGATCCAGGCCAACTTCTACAGCAGCAAGATGGCCGACGCCTACGGCCTTGACGTGCTGGACCTCCACTTCCAGTTCCGCTTCTCGCTCGAGCACCGCATGAAGGATGGGGTCCACTGGAACTCTCTGGCCCACCGACGCATCACCACTTTACTGCTGCAACATGCTGCAGAGGCCTGGGGAGTGTTGCTGCACTGTCCTGCCACTACTGTTGGTTAGTACACACACACTCACTGTAAATACATACACACTGGTACTCTGGCCCACTGATGCGTCACATCCTTACTGCTGCTGCACAGGTCTGGGGGTCGGTGCTACACTGTCCTCTCACTAATACATATTACACACACATCACCTGTCTGTTTGAATTTCACTGTTAGTTGAAAGAGACTGGTATTCTTCTCCCTGTAGAGCACATTGATCATTCAGAGCAGCAGCAGCTCAAAGCCTACACAAACACCATGGCCAAGAACACAGGTAAGTGGTGTCTTCCTCCTCAATTTATTGGTCATTACAGTAGTACCATGCCGCGTTATCGTAACGTTAAGGCCATTACATTACATTCCCTCAGTGCTACACAACTGGAGCTACCCACCAGAGCCTCATTGCAGGAGACCAGACCCCAGGATGATGAACCCGGGTCACTGCAGTGGTAAATAGGTTGCCTGCCTGATTGCATGGTTCACTGACTGACTGCCTGCCTGATTGCATGGTTCACTGACTGACTGCCTGCCTGATTGCATGGTTCACTGACTGCCTGCCTGATTGCATGGTTCACTGACTGCCTGCCTGATTGCATGGTTCACTGGCTGGCTGCCTGCCTGACTGCATGGTTCACTCGCTGGCTGCATGGTTCACTCGCTGACTGACTGCCTGACTGCATGGTTCACTCGCTGACTGACTGGCTGACTGCATGGTTCACTCGCTGACTGGCTGACTGCATGGTTCACTCGCTGGCTGACTGGCTGACTTGACTGCATGGTTCACTCGCTGGCTGACTGGCTGACTTGACTGCATGGTTCACTCGCTGCCTGACTGCATGGTTCACTCGCTGGCTGACTGGCTGACTTGACTGCATGGTTCACTCGCTGCCTGACTGCATGGTTCACTCGCTGGCTGACTGGCTGACTTGACTGCATGGTTCACTCGCTGCCTGACTGCATGGTTCACTCGCTGCCTGACTGCATGGTTCACTCGCTGCCTGACTGCATGGTTCACTCGCTGCCTGACTGCATGGTTCACTGGCTGACTGCCTGACTGCATGGTTCACTGGCTGACTGCATGGTTCACTGGCTGACTGCATGGTTCACTGGCTGACTGCATGGTTCACTGGCTGACTGCCTGACTGCATGGTTCACTCACAGACTGACTGCCTGACTGCATGGTTCACTTGACTACTGTGGAGTTTAACCTGCATCTTCACCTAATGCCTCTTCAAAAAGGCTGCGGTCACTCACACAACCACGTGACTTGCCTCCTTCACACCTGTCCCTCTGCACAGCACCTGAGTAACCACTAGAGGGCACTGCTGTGCGTGGCACAAATCATAGTTCATGTGATTTCTCCCACAGCTGCATAATGACTCATGACCACAGGTTCTGGGAGTGTTTGGATCCTAAGGAATCATTCAGTGAGTGGATATAAATGTATGTGTACTGACCCTGCCATGTAATTCACTAGTTGCCTGGGAAACAGAGAGGTTTGGACACTCTGACGGCTACGAGCCTCAGGGAGAATATTTCACTCCCAATTCAGCAGGTATGACTCAGATATTTGTATAAAGACTTCCTAATACAGTTCTTGAGAAACCTTTTTGGGAAGAAAAATTTTGTATTCATTATTTCAACTCACTGAACAACTGCAACATCCGTCTCTCCTCATGTCCGGTCCTGTATCTCTAGGGTGGCAGCCTGCATTGGACTCTGTCCTTCAGCTCTACAGAGCTATGGAAGGACAGTTAAATGCTTATGTACATTAAACTGAACAACATATTTTTTTTGCCATAGGATGGCATCCTGCGGAGGACTCGGGTCTTGAGCCCTACAGACCAGCTTTGGATGCACCCCACAGGCCTCTAGAAGGGGAATACGACAACTGCGGAGAACAGTTCTACGAGGTAAGAGGGGCAGACACCATTGAGGTTTTTAAAGAGACAGTTTTCTCATGTAGACACTGGTATGTTGCTGGAAATGATGACCGGTTAAAAGTGGTGAGGTTTAAAACTTGGTCTTTAATCTGTGATTTGACTGTGTTAGGCATCCTTATTTTATTCTTCTATTTGCCTTTTGTTTGCTTTTATTTCTTTCATTTGATTGTTTTACTGTGAAGTGTCAAGTCACAATTTATGTACCAATAGAATTTCACAATGTCCCCCCCCCCCCCCCCCCCCCCCAAAAAAAAAAAATGAATACATACATTTCGATTTGATTCTATGAGGACGCTCTCCCCGTCCGCCCCAAGTTCGGCGCCGGCTACTTCAGCTTCGAGGAGAACCAAGCCAACAGACAGCCGACTGCCCCGGTGCATCACAGACACACCCAGGTGCTCAACAACAGACAGACGGTGGTCTACAGACATCCCCCAGTCATCAGACACTCACTGGACAACAGCTACAGTGAAAATAACGGAATGGTCCGGAACAGTAGTAAGTTGACAAACACGTGCGCACCCTAGTGTAATCATGGGACCTCTGGCACTGGCCGTAGTAGGCAAGACAGACTTCGGACACGGCCATTAAGTGTAGTTCTGTGTACCTATCCATCTGGATTCCATTGTGTGAAGCAGAACATTTATCCATTGGAGCCACTCCTCCCTTGCTTGAACCAAAATGGATTTACAAGTAGAGCCTCTGCTCTGTAGTAAAGAATTGTATCAATCCTGGAGTGATTGGGCTTTAAATTACTGTTTGTTCAGCACTCTCCCTTTTCTCTCTTCCAGCTGGACACTACAGACCGGTGCAGCATAATGAGGCCTACCACCACAGACCCTACGTCCCTCTCCCTCCCGCTTGGCCTGAGAACCAGTACGTGATGAGGAAGAAACAACCCAAGAAGCACTATGCGCCGTATACATGCCAGAGACCTCACCAGTACCACAGATACTGACTGGAAAGTTCTGGGTAGCCCTTATATAGACCGTGTAGCGCATTGCTGTGGACGGTCGAACGGTTCAGAACTAGGGCACAGTCTTTCCTGGTCTGGTCAGGGGGGAAAACCTGGCCCTAAGGAGGGAGTGGCACGTTGGGTCAGGAGTTTTTCCTGGACCATGTGACCAGGAAAAACTCTGGGCCCTGTATATAGTGTTCAAACTCATCAAGTGATTGTGTATGGGCAGCACTTTAAAAAATTAAACTTTCAGGAGTTGTCTTTCATAATTCTGTCATTTGCTCTATTGTGCATCCCAAACATGGGTGGTGCCTTACAACAACTAAATTTCTAGAGGGCTGTGTAGTCTTTTGCTCTTGAAATAGTAGTTTTTGTAGATAATTTTTCTTTTTACTATTTTGAGGCTTTTTAAGTTGAAAGGCTATGAAATTCTGTTCTGTGTTTCCTATGTTCTGTCAATGTCAGTCTTTCTTAGTCTTTTCTTGCCACTGTGAGGGGGTTGGTTGTATGTTTAGGAACACTGGAGAATTGCCATGGCATACTGGAACATTTTTACATTTATACAATAAAATTACACTGATTTCATGTTTAGTTCTCATTGTGTCTCATCCTCTCCTCTTTGAGTGTGTTTTAGGTCAGGTCTAGGCATGGAAGGAATGTTACCTAACAAAATGGATGACTTGGTAAGAACTTTATTGGTCTGATGTTTTGGATTCGGGACAGTCAAGATGGATGCAGTCATACAGCTTCCCGTCAGTCCACAGTCTTATAGTCTTCAACGAACACTGTTGTAGAGTAGGTTCCTCTTACTGTATGTATGGTTGACACATTTGCATTGTTAAATGTTCCTACTCCAGTGTTCAGTGCAGAACATCTAGTTATACAATATAATGGCTTTTGAGATTGGCTGTAGGTAAGTTTCAGCACTAGCCACAACATTCTAGACTATTCAGCGTTTACAATTCATTTAATCTACCATAGTGACTAATGTTTAAGGTCTTGACACAGGTACATATGATAGACCTTCGTAGTTTAATGACTTAACTGAACTTGTGTGAATAATACAAACCATTTATAAGTCAGTGAAACCTGGTTACCGTAGGAATGTCAACAATCAAGTAGATTGACACCCTACATTTCTCATTCTATTAAATCAGCTTCCTATCTCAACCAAATAGATATTCATTCCAAATGAAGAAAAGTTAAAGGTGTGTGAATTTGAAATGGAACTTCATTGTCATGTTACTTACTATAGGGAATAGGGTGCCTTTTCAGACACCCTAGATTTGATAACCTGTCAGGACTGAATACATTAGTAAAAATAATATCTCAAATGGGAATCACATATTTATTTCAGTGGTGGATTCGCTTGGTCCTGACTGCTGGTATACACCAGTATGTGCAGATTACGTAAAATAATCACCACAGTACAAAAAAAGTGCAATGCATTAATAATTAATTGTGCCATTTGTCCATTTCCCTATGGTTAACCAATTTCTGCTGCATCAACTCGCTCGGTGTGCATTCATTTTTGCTTGTTTGTTTCTCCGTCAGACTTTTAATCAACTCAAGAGATGCAACGTTTACGAGTCGAGTCACCTAAAAACTACTCAAAAGCTGCTTTAAAAAAAGACATCTGACAATCATGTAGAATGTGTTGGTAGAGAATAACTGAATTACTGTATGAAGTATTATTACTTGACAAGAACACGTGTGTCTCTTTGGCATAGATGTGTAATCCCTTTGACCAGGTGATGTAGTGTCACAACGTGTGTCCTGAGAGAATCTGAGGAACAATTGGAAATGGCCTGTAACTGAAAAAACTATTTTTGCATCTGCTGTGCTCTGATTGGAGGAGCTTGCTGTCACTTGTGGACATAGGCCAATGGGGTGGCGTCTTAGGTCATGAGGAGGCGGTGCACTTGCTGCAGGTGCTGCTGTGATAGGACGAGACGGTGCACCTGCTCCTGGCCCTTGGCACATGGGATGGCCACGCGCCCTACGAACACCGTACCCCCCTGCTTCTCCTCCTTCGCCTGAAAGGACAAGAGAGAAAAGGAGGTCAAAGGACAACAAATACAGTCTGATGCCTAAACCAGATATCTGTTGCATTGTATGTGTTTGAGTGCCTATTAAGACTGATGTGTGTGTGTGCGTTACCTTGACGAAGGAGGAAATGGGGAAGGTGGCAAAGTCAGAGGAGATCTTCGCCCCAGGATGCTGAGAAACCACATGCTCTGACACTTCACCCTGAGGGAAAGAGATTTGTTGTCGTGTCCATTTCCATGATAGAGAGATTAGTGTACAAGTCTGTCTATGTGGTGTAGAGAAATATTATGATTATTACTAGGGTTGATCATATAAATTCAGGTCACCTTCAGTTTGTCCAGAGCGTTGCTCAGAGACTGCAGTCGAGCTGTCTGGTCCAGGAGCTGAGCACTCGCACTCACTGTAGGAGAGAAAGAGATAAGAAATCTAATATGTACCAACTCAAATACAAACGTACTGAAAAACACATAATATAAACGACGCTACACACTCAAAACCCTTCAGACACACACACACACACAGACCTGGTGTCTTCCTGTCACACAAAAACAAACACACCGACATCCCTCCCACCTGGAGTCTTCCCGGTGATGTCGACCACCTTAACGGCGGCGCTCATCTTGAGCAGGGTCCCCAGGAGCTGGTCTGTCTTCCTGTAGAGAGCCCCGTGGAGAGGCCCCTCAGCAGGGGGAGAGGAGGAGGCCTCTCTCAGAGGAAGCTTGGGGACGTGGAGGGGAGGGAGGGAGGCTAGCTGGGCTCTCATCTTCTCTGCCTGGAGGAGAGAGAAGATATACAGAGACACAGTCATCAACACAGAGCTAACTACAGTCAGAAGTGTACATACATAAAGGAACTGACTACTTTCAATTAACTACTAATGAATATACATTCATGATAAATAGACTGTTCAATGAACTACATCAAGAGAAGCATACAACAGACTTCAATGATCTGCAAAAATACAGTTCACATTACTGGTAGCTCAGCTGGTAGAGCACGGCGCTTGTAACGCCAAGGTAGTGGGTTCGATCCCCGGGACCACCCATACACAAAAATGTATGCACGCATGACTGTAAGTCGCTTTGGATAAAAGCGTCTGCTAAATGGCATATTATTATTATTATAATAGAGAAAGAATGAATCCATATTTTGATTAGGACAGAATGGAGAAGATGGCACTAAAAGTGACACACAGGAGTCAGTTCCCTGCAGTGTTCTGACCTTGAGTCTGTTGTTCTCGTTCTTCAGGTGTTTGATGCCCAGTCTCTGTGTCTCCACCTGCTGACGGAGGAGAGGGGAGTCCACCACCTGCATCGGCCCAGACAGACCCCCTGCTCCTGGGGCAACACCCGCTGTAGAGGAGGAAGGGAGGGGGGCGGGAGGAGGAGAGAAGAGGGGGGGATAGGAGAGGGGAAGGAGGGTTAGACATTTTGAAATTAAAACAGAACATATTTAGCAGATTATAAAACCTAAATCACAAAATGGCTTTAGGAATGGGCGATATTACGATAGTATCCTCTATCGAGGATGATTGGGGGCGGCAGGTAGCTTAGTGGTTAAGAGCGTTGTGCCAGTAACCGAAAGGTCGCTGGTTCTAATCCCCGAGCCAACTAGGTGAAAAATCTGTCGATGTGCCCTTGAGCAAGGCACTTAACCCTAATTGCTCCTGTAAGTCGCTCTGGATAAGAGCGTCTGCTAAATGACGTAAATGTAAATGTAATGATTGACAGCCGTCGTCGATGGTGACGACATCGTGATGTGACAGACGATACCAAGCCTATTTAAACTTGACTGCCGCCGCGCAGTAAAGAGCAGAGTCACGTAGAGCCAGCAGGGAATTGCATGGGTGACATTCTGAGAAAGTTGTCTATATTGCTATTGGCTATAGCCCATTTCAATAAATATGTTATATTTACAGAATGCAAGATAACAATGTAGACAGAGCTAAGAGTTTCACCAAAGCAGCGCAAAATGTCCGGTCAGAAAATATATTTTAGTTTTTTTCTCTCTCGAATGTCAGATGATCTGGGACAATAGCCGACGTCTATTTGTATAGTGGACACTCTGGTATCTTATTGTTTTAAAAGTCTAATTTTCTATTTTCTCTCCATTTGATATGAATATGACTTGGCCTATTAAGGCACTCTTTCAGTTTAATGCATGCTGGATTTCTCCCACCGTGCTATTTCATGATCAAACAATGAATGAATCTTACGGAGTTCTAGCTCAGAAAGTTACGTTTTATTTGAATAACCTAAAAACATGGTAGGCCTAAGGTAATAATGAAAGAGATAGAACAAACAATAGCAAGATAGAAAAATCGAATGAGAAATTTGAACAAACCTTAGGCTACAGTTGAGCATAGCATTATAAGACAGACATTATGCATGAGAGGCCCTTATCCTACTAATTTAAATATCATAAAAGCAATATCCCTTTCCACTCACAGGTCCTGTCATCCCGTATACGGGTTGAAATGGAAGAGTGTCATTGATATGCGCCTAAATTGGAACGCAGTGGCTGTACAGTAACATGCTATACATTATGTCAGAGCTCAGGTTCTCCGCTTCACAGCGCTGTGGGTTTTGACAGACAGCCGTTATAAACTTGAGCACCGCGTGATAAGACGCCCCCCATCCCTCCCGCTAATTGGGCTACTTTTGCACATTTGTTGTCTTGAGTGAAGGAAATGCTGTAAATCGTGAAGAGTCGATGTGTTCTGAAAGAGGAGACGTTCAAAATGATCATAAATACCGCTTTGATGTCATACAAGCAAACCACACACCCATGAGTCCAAATGTGCACTTTACATTCCCATATTTGAAAACTCATGTCATTTACCTTATAAACGATTATGATCGCTATGTTTGATGAACATTTGAATACACTCATGACTCCATTCTATGCCCACTAAAATGTCAATATGTTTGTCTGAAGTGCCTTTTGAAAACCTAACACTGTAAGATCATATTTTATAACTTAGCTAGCCATGTTGGCAATAGAATAAGCTTTCAAATGATGCCCACCTGACCCAGATTGTGATTTATAATGGAATGTTTTTGGATTGCGTAAACAACAGTAATGTGTGTGATGGTGGGGATGCAGGGCTGTGTTCCAAACAAGTGTGCTTACTTCAGTTCCTCAATGGCAAAGCTACCAGTTCAAAAAAGCACCTGATAGTTGAAGGCTCTTTCCTTGAGTCAAAGAAGTGCATTGACATGACTTAGTAACTGTGCACAGTCTGGAGAGGTGTGTGGTCACTTGGAGACACCAGTTAGACCGCAATCGTTTTTTCTTATCTTGCACCTACTCCAAAATGTCAATGAATATTCGTATTATATTACTGAATGTAACAAGAGTATTTTCAGATTTCGTTATTTACAAGTGCTGTGAAAAGTACAGTAAATGTAAAACACATAAAATCAACAGTCTTGTATCAGGTGAACTGTTGCGTCCCTCACCTTTGGTCTGATAGTTTCCCCATAATCTCCAAAGTGTTCCCTTTCAATTGCTACCATGTTCATGCATATGCATTTTATAGTTATTCTATTAGGAACATTTAAATGTGGCCCTATCCATATAGATAAATTCCAGTTATGAAGTGTATTTCCCAAAATTCGAATAAAGTGTTTAATGTCCTAAAGTTGCAGCTTTTAAAAAGGGAACAATGATGAAAGTCAGAGCCGATGCTATTCTCAATCACAGCTTTATTTTGAATGACAAATTATTTAGGCCACAAGAAGTGAAATTGAACAAACAAGATGGAAAAACCGAACGAGAAGACAAAAAAAAAAAAGCTTATGAAAGAAACAATGCGTAGGCTATCGTTGGCCTAGGCCTATTTCCAGATTTTTCTAGCAATGTGCAACCTTACCTACAACGTATAGTCTAGTAGCCTAGGCCTAATAAGAGAGGAGGATGAGGCAAAAATGTATAATTATAACCAGTTCTGAGGACAGAAGAGTTGCTTGCTCTGCAGCCCATGATGATTTACAACCCATTACCCGACTGTTGACTGTGTGTTGTTGACTGTGTGTCACTCGCTCCATTTGCGTGCTTCGACACACACAGACAGGTAGGGATGTAATGATTCACTGATACACATAGGTCCCAGGTTAAAATGTCTAAGATATGAGTTAAATTGGTCCACAGGAACCCAAACCGTTCCAGATGTAGCATGCATCATTCAGAAAATGTATTCAAACGTTATGAATCGCCAGTTCACTTTTTTAGTTTGTTGCTAAAATGTCTTTCTTTCTCCCTTCTAAAAATACACTACATGACCAAAGGAATGTGGACACCTGCTCGTCGAACATCTCATTCTAAAATCATGGGCATTAATATGGAGTTGGTCCTCCCTTTGCTGCTATAACAGCCTCCACTCTTCTGGGAAGGCTTTCCACTAGATGTTGGAATATTGCTGCAGGGACTTGCTTCCATTCAGCCACCAGAGCATTAGTGCACTGATGTTGGGCGATAAGGCCTGGCTCGCGGTCACCGTTCCAATTCATCCCAAAGGTGTTTGATGGGGTTGAGGTCAGGGCTCTGTGCAGGCCAGTCAAGTTCTTCCATACCGATCTCGACAAACCATTTCTGTATGGACCTCGCTTTGTGCACGGGGGCATTGTCATGCTGAAACAGGAAAGGGACTTCCCCAAACTGTTGCCACAAAGTTGGAAGCACAGAATCGTTCTAGAATGTCATTGTATGCTGTAGCGTTAAGAATTCCCTTCACTGGAACTAAGGGGCCTAGCCCGAACCATGAAAAACAGTCCCAAACTATTATTCCTCCTCCACCAAACTTTACAGTTGGCACTATGTATTCGGGCAGGTAGCGTTCTCCTGGCATCTGCCAAACCCAGATTCATCCATCGGACTGCCAGATGGTGAAGCGTGATTCATCACTCCAGAGAACGCGTTTCCACTGCTACAGAGTCCAATGGCGGCGAGCTTTACACCACTCCAGCCGACGCTTGGCATTGCGCATGGTGATCTGAGGCTTGTGTGCTGCTGCTCAGCCACGGAAACCAATTTCATGAAGCTCCCGACAAACAGTTATTGCGCTGACGTTGCTTCCAGAGGCAGTTTGGAACTCGGTAGTAAGTGTTGCAACCGAGGACAGACAATTTTTACGCGCTACGCACTTTAGCACTCGGCAGCCCCGTTCTGTGAGCTTGTGTGGCCTACCACTTCGCGGCTGAACCGTTGTTGCTCCTAGACATTTCCACTTCACAATAACAGCACTTACAGTTGACCAGTTGATCCACTAATTTGAAGGGGTGTGCACATACTTTTGTATATATAGTGTACCTCTCATCTTATACCTCTCACCTTCAGTTTCGAACTAAGAAAATACCTCTCACCTTCAGTGTCGAACTAAGAAAATACCTCTCACCTTCAGTGTCGAACTAAGAAAATACCTCTCACCTTCAGTGTCGAACTAAGAAAATACCTCTCACCTTCAGTGTCGAACTAAGAAAATACCTCTCACCTTCAGTGTCGAACTAAGCATGTAATTGTGTTGACAGTCATTGATTTACAAGTCATTTTGCATCAACCCCAGGCAGGCAATATCAGTAGCCTAGTCAAACTGCGCTGTGCGCAGCTTCGGACGCTGACCAACAAAAGGTAGGCCTATTCCTGATCTTGCACAAGTGCGCATCACCTTCAGCATTTAAATGTTTGTCAAATAGCTTGCGCAAAATTATGCTTTATTAGTTGAGCGACAACCAATGTAATTTGGTAGGTTATTTTTATCAAATGCGCTGTTGAAAATTGTGTTTTACCGGAATAAAAGTAGCCTAAGCTACCGTCAGAGACAACTCATCTGGGTCACATGCTGATCAGGGGCGCTTACATTACATTTCATTTAAATTGTTCAGGTTCACCATCAGCAATAGTTTTTGTAGTTTTGCTTGAAACAAATAAGTATCTTTTAGGGTAAAGTTTATCATTTCATAACGAGGACAGCAATCACCAAGTCTGTCAAAACTTAAACTGTCTAAACCATTCAATTATGAGATGGGGTGAAATCCAAAGTTGTGCTCTATATTCATTGGCTATATTATACCACATTTTTAAATATAAAATGTTGATACATTACTAGCTCTAACACTTTTAATCTGCAAAAAGGACAAATGAATTAGCGGGTGATGGTGGTTTCAGATCAAAAGTGTGGGGGTCAAAAAGCTAACATCCCCCCCCCCCTAACTGATAGTGGGGTGGTAGATGCCCAGTTTCCCTTATGGCTTAGCTCATGTACCTACATACACCATAGACATATAGATAATTCACACAAACATCAGCTCAGACAGATCCAGCTCAGAGAGGCCCAGCACATGAGCTCCATCAGAAGCAGATTTGAATTTAGAATGGAAAGTTTGTGTGTATGCAACAAATGTTAGTGCATCGAATTGTACCGCATCGTACCAAATCGCATTTAGTCATTTGCATCAATTCGTTCCTCTAATCAAACCGAATCGCACCGAATCGTTTCAAACTAAAACATAAATCGTTCATGTATCGTATCGTACAAATGAGTTGTAGTTGTTGTAGTGTTGGTAGTTGTAGGAGTTGGTCGTGGTGTTGTAGTTGTGTGTAGTTGTAGTTGTAGTTGTAGTTGGTAGAGAGATAAGTAGTAAGTAGTCGTAGTAGTAATGTAGTGTAGAGTAGTAGTAGTAGGTAGGAAGGAATAAGTAGTGCTAAAAAAAGTTTAGCTCAATAATACCTCTTGTCAATGTTGAACTCTGTCCCCTAGCATGAGGTTGCCTGGGTCGATTTTAAAATTGACATGATGATTTAATTTTTGGGGGGGATGGCCTCTAGGAGGCGATAACATCGTCTATCGGGCAATTTTACAAGTACAAATTCACGACAAAAGTTGATTTCAACTAACCCTACATGGATTTTTACATCATTTTACATCATCTTCTGAAACAGTTTCATCGGAATATGAGTGCATAGTATGAGTGATTGTATAATGTGAGAGGTATAAGGTGTGTTATAAAGGCGTGTGAGGTGAGGTATCAAAAGACTCACCTCCGGCGGTTCCCGTGACGATGGATGCGATCCCAGAGGCAGGCGAGGCCCTGAGGCCCTCGATGGTCACCTTTGATTGGTTGGAGAGACGCTGATTCAGCGCCGCCTTCTCTGCCTCCAGCTGGTCGATGTCTGCCTGCAGGGCGTCCATGGTCTCCTCAAACTCCCTGGGTTGGGGAGGGAGAAATGGATGGAGGGATGGAGAGTGAAAAAAAAAAGGTAGGTTATATACAAATATTTGATCAATGTAATACTAATACATTTACTACGTGAATTAAAAATTATGATGTCTACTCTCCTGGCTCTACAGCAGGCCACGATACAAAACACTTCTATTAGGTGAACATATCCCATCTCTCCACCAAACAGACTATCTACCATCTTCACCTCTACTGCTCTTTTACTTCTCCCATATGTGGATCTGAAAGGCACTAGGATAGGAGAAGGCAAAATTCATTGTAAACACAACTATACACAGACAGAAGTGTCCTGATTCTACAACATCCTTCCCTAATAGTCCCACAGCCACCAGGTTTCCCCAGTCTTACTTCTCCTTCTTCTTGAGCAGGGCCAGGGTCTCATCCAGTTTGGTCTGGATCTTCTCCACGCGTTCGTCTGCGTCTTTAGTGGACGTATCCAGCTTCTTCTCTAGCAGGCTGAGACGGACGTGGGCCTCACTCAACTCCTCTCCCTGGGGTTGAGAGACAGGAAGTCGGGAGAGAGATGGAGAGTGAGCGAGAGAGTGAGGGGGTTAATGTGAGAGATGATGAGTGTATGTGCATGTGAGGGGGAAAAATTTGTGTGTATAAGAAAAAGAGCAAGGATGAGAGAGAAAGGAGAGAGAGAGAGAGACATGTCCTTACCTTGATCTTTAGGGACTTCTTGAGCTCCTTGATGACGGTGTCTCTGTCCTCCAGTTTGACTCCCAGACCCTCTGAATCAGTGATCTCTGCCCTGAGGGCCGCCGCACGAGCCTCTACCGGGGGAGTCTATGCAGGGAGGGGGGAAGTGAGGGGGGAGAAACAAGAAGAGGGGATGACTTGTGAGTGTCAATTCAATGAGGGGCAAACATGTTACAGACGTAGCATTCTTAGTTTTGAAAGGCTAGAAAATGAGAAAACATTTATTCTCCAGCCGTACCTCTCACCTAGTGTCATACTCCCCCAGCCCTATTCCCTACGTACCTTTCCCTGTGGTCTCTCAGCGTCATACTCTCCCTCCTGCATGGCGGTAGCCATCTTGTTCATGGTGGAGATGACAGAGCTGCAGGACTGACGCAGACACTCATGGGGGTTCAGGCCATGGGACCCATACACCTGGAGGAGGGGGAGACAGAGACTGTCAGCCTGTTTGAAGGGGTCAGCTTGAGCCAGACAGAATCACTACTCTAGATCACATAGTAGTTATTTGGGATGCAAGGTGATATTTTTTGTTATTTATTTTTATTGTAATTTCACCCCATTTTTCTCCCCAATTTCGTGATATCCAATTGGTAGTTACGATCTTGTCTCATCGTTGCAACTCGCCAACGAGCTCGGGAGAGGCGAAGGTCGAGACATGTGTCTCGAACCCCAGGCTGTAGTGGCGTCTCAGATCTGCGATGCAGTGCCTTAGACCACTGCGCCACTCGGGAGGCCCTCAAGGTGAGTTTTTATATTAGATCAATGATTCCGTGCAGTCCAACTGCAATGTAGTCAATCACAAACATGCAACGATCAGTCTATGTTCAATCTATATTTCAGTCTATGGTCACAGTACCTGTTCAACAGCCTTGAAGGCCACGTCCTCCAGTTTGAGGGTGTTGAGCCCCTCCTGTTCCCCTAGAGGGGCAACCATCTGCGCCCCCGCAGCCGCCACCTCCTGTAGCACGGCAACCACCCGCGTCAGCTGACGCCTGCAGTCCGTTAGAGTCTCTGACACCTGCCATTGGTCCACAGAGCTGTCAGTCAAATTATCATGCAGTAGTCCCGCCTCCACAAATGCAAAGTTGAGTTGCATTACTGTACTTTATGAGCTACTGTAAAAACACTTGGCCCTGCGCTCCAAACGCCAGCACAGTGGGTTTGGGTTAGGTGCAAGACCTAAGAAATGTGGTCTATATCGGGGCTCCAAAGATACTGTGAAACACTTGGCCCAGGGCTAAACGTAAGACCTAAGCATAGCACTAGGCACATACCGGTGCGCCAAAGGCCAGAGCGGCGGGCACCCCTGGCACGTCGGTCCCTGGCATCCTGCGTCTGATCTTCTTGCAGAACTGTTTGATGTCGCTGCAGGAAGCAAATCACTAAGAAATATAAATAATAGAGATAAATAGACCTACATAGTAATTCTATATTAGTATTGTATTAGACCTGCAGGACGTGTCTAGGTCCTTCAGCAGGATGTTCAGGTCAGCCCCCTCCTGCCCCGGCTGCAGGAACGCCCTGAGACGCACCACCTCAGCACCCATACAGTCCAAAGCACTCTGGATGAACTGGAGGTCACAGAGTTCACAAAGGTCAGAGGTCAAATTCAGTTCAATGGTATAACTGAATTTAGAGAAGATATTATGTTTGTAACAGGCTACAATGTTAGGGAGGGAATTAAAAACATATATATATATATATATATAGTCTTTCTAGCAAATGTATAAAGAAAATAATGTTTTTCTTAATAAAAATGTTTAAGACTGCTTTTGTTGATGAAGGATGTTTGTACCTTGATGTGGTCAGCCAGCTGCACGGTGCAATCCTCAGTCTGCTCAGCCAGGTGGATGCTGTACAGTTGCTGCAAAATAAAACAGATCAGTCATTGAGTGGCTTTACAAGGCCTTACTCACCCTGGATTTATTTTTATTTTTTTTTTTTATAGCATTGATTAAAGCTTGATAGTATGTCAGTGTCGAGGTGTGTGTAGTTGTGAGAAAGAGCACCATTGAGTGGACAGAGCGTGTGGTGTATGTTCTCTGTCAAGAGTGGTCAAGTAACTAGCCAAATAATGGTACGTTGAAGCAATAGTGTGTCTTGGTCCTAATTCTATCTCAAGAGTGTACAGCGTGCGAGGTCAATTGTCTGTTATATATTGAGTGTGTTCTCTGTTCGCGAGTGTTCAAGGTGTGTATGAAGTGTGGTGTGTGTGTTGCCTACCTGGTAGTACTTGATGGCCTTGGTGAGAGGCTCCACGTGTACAGTCTCGTCCAGCTGGTCTTTGTGCAGCAGATCTATAAAGAAGTCTAGGGAACGCTCATGGACACTCATCTCTGAGTAGAGAGTCCCCATCCGCTTATACACCTCCACACTGCAACAGTTAAGAGCTCTGAGAGGGAGAGGGGAGGGGAGAGAGAAGGAAATGTATTCCACATTAAAGGGGGGCTGAACTTCCTGGTTTGGTCATTATGAAATGCAGTGGTCATGACTGAAGCCAATTATTATATAAACCAATTACAATATTTTAGTTGTCTCATTAAATGCTTTCAATATTTGTATATTAATTTCTACAATTTATAGTTGGTTTGAGGTTTTTAAGTCAATTAAATTTGGAGCTATTGACCTTTTAAAATATTGTCCAATGTACATTGTGTAATTTACTGATGGTCCCCAACTACCACCATCGGGATATCGAATGTCAAACCAAATTGACCATTGAAATAAACCCAACCCAAGGAAAACTGTAACGTTACCCTTCATTCTGTGACATGACATGTTTTCCTATCACCTCGCAAATCTATTTTGGACGAGACTGACTTTATGACCAAAATTATCCTATTTACACGTTGTAGTCCATTTTTACACTAGAATAAATGTTTCTGACTCATATCGATGCCACATCTGCCGTTTTCAAAACAAGAAGTTGCTTTTTAGAGAATATGGCACTCCTTGATTTCCCCTTGCTCGATTATCATTAGATGTACTCCATAGGAAAACAAGTGTGATCAGGCAGGTGAGAGAGAGAAAGCAGCCAGTTCAATATGCTGTTACTATCTTAGAAGTACAAGTGAGATTCTATCCTCCTTACTGTTCGTATTTGTGCAGCGTGGCCTGTAGCAGAGTTAGAGAGTAGACCAGTCCAGACACACACACACACACACGGCTCCTTACTGTTCGTATTTGTGCAGCGTGGCCTGCAGCAGGGTTAGAGAGTAGACCAGTCCAGAGGCGAAGCTGAGTTGTTCTCCAGGTGGTCCTCTCATCTTAATTCCAGTCCTCTCCACTGGGTTACCATTCAGATCAAACTTCTCTTGGGCCTGCTTACTGATCAACTCAGCCTACAGGGAGGGAGGAACACACACACAGTAAAAACCTTAAATACTCACACACATTCCTCGTCAAATTCTGAGCTTGTATTACTAATCAACTTGAATACACACACACACGCACGGGCGCCATACCACACACAGACACACACACTCCCTCTATACCTTGCAGATGAGTCTTGGTATTAGCAAGAGCACCAGAATACAGTCGTGGTCGCCTCCGTGACGCAGGAAAGAGTCGGGCATGAAGGAGGTGAGGAGAGACACCTGTCTGTTGGCCTGGCCCACCTCCATCTTCCTCAGCTCCATCTCGATGGCCTGGAGAGACACACGTGGATAGGATAATCACATTATTTTTTGGTTGTAATGGTATATACCAATCTCACACATCCTGTAATAATAGGCCTTTAAACTCCTACATTCACTGGTAAATATTTAATGTGAAAGAAAAAAAAATATTCAACGATGATCTGGTGGTCCCCATAAAGGAACTGTTTGGGAACCACTGCACTAAACTGGATGTATGTGGGACATTTTCTTACCTTGGCGTAGGCCTTGGTCTCAGCGAACTTGATCTTGAAGTCAAACAGCTCAGCAGGAGGCTGTTGGACCTGCTCTGTGTTGGCATTCTGAGCGCTGGTCAGCTCCCTGTTGGTATCCTACACACAGTAACACACACAATTTATATACAAATAACCAAAAGAAACCAGTCACCTATCAAGACCTTTCCCATTTTGCCTAAAGGCTGATGTATTCAGGATGTCAGTAAAACCCTGACTGTGACAAACAAGTTCACAGAATAGTTTATAAAAACTTTTAACAATGCTTGTTAGTGTTTTTAAGTGTCATTCTTCCGATTGCATGTTGTATGACACTACAATGAATTCAAACTCTATACCTGTAGGCTGGTGGTGAGCTCGCGGTACTTGTTGATGGTCTGCTGATAGTCAGCCACAGTCTCCTGAGCGGCCTCCACCCTCTTCTGGGCCTCTCTCACCCTGGCCCCATTCAGGTCCAGCTGCTCTCTCAGCTCCATCTCCGTTTCCCTGCTGTTCTCCTGCAGCTCGTCATTCATCTCGTTGATCGCTTCCTGGAATGGGGGAAGAGGTCAGAGGTTAGGGGTCAGAGGTGGTAGGGTGTCTTATGTGGTGGTGTGGTGAGAATTGAGTGGACAGGGTTTTAACACAAAGGGTGTATCTCTGTCTCTAAAACAGTGTCCTTGCCAATATAGTGTACGCACATCAGGGGCATAGCGTTGACACAGAGTTGGTTATTCAAAACATCCTAACAGAGTTAATATGGGTGTGTGAACTCAAATCACTGACTACTTAAACCATACAAAGTAACAGAGTTGAAATTGATATTAAGGTAACAGGGTTACATTGGCATGAAGGTAACAGGGTTGGCATGAAGGTAACAGGGTTGACATGAAGGTAACAGGGTTGACATTAAGGTAACAGGGTTGACATTAAGGTAACAGGGTTGACATTAAGGTAACAGGGTTGACATTAAGGTAACAGGGTTGACATTAAGGTAACAGGGTTGACATTAAGGTAACAGGGTTGACAGAGTTATTGATGTAAGTCGCTCTGGATAAGAGCGTCTGCTAAATGACGTAAATGTAAATGTAAATTGATTTGAACTCACCAGGTCTGTGACAGTCTCTCTGAGCTCTCTGACTTTCTCCTCCAGGTCCAGATTCCTCTCAGTCAGAGTCTCCACCATCTCCTCTGCCCCGAGAGCAGCATCCACCTAGGACACACAACACAATCAAATCTAAATTATATAGAACTTTTTACAAATACGTATGTTGCAAAGCTCTTAAAAGCAACCCAGGGCTATACAAAAAAAGATATACATACAGCCATGTCACCTATGTAGAGGTTGCCTTCTACACATAAGATAAGAAACCTCTATGACCAACTGGCTAACCTGTTCTTTGAGTTCGTAAGGTAGCCTCAACCTGCTTCATCACCTTATGTAATATATATATACAGTGAGGGGAAAAAAGTATTTGATCCACTGCTGATTTTGTACGTTTGCCCACTGACAAAGAAATGATCAGTCTATAATTTTAATGGTACGTTTATTTGAACAGTGAGAGACAGAATAACAACCAAAAAATCCAGAAAAACGCATGTCAAAAATGTTATAAATTGATTTGCATTTTAATGAGGGAAATAAGTATTTGACCCCCTATCAATCAGAAAGATTTCTGGCTCCCAGGTGTCTTTTATACAGGTAACGAGCTGAGATTAGGAGCACACTCTTAAAGGGAGTGCTCCTAATCTCACCTTGTTACCTGTATAAAAAACACCCGTCCACAGAAGCAATCAATCAGATTCCAAACTCTCCACCATGGCCAAGACCAAAGAGCTCTCCAAGGATGTCAGGGACAAGATTGTAGACCTACAAATGGCTGGAATGGGCTACAAGACCATCGCCAAGCAGCTTGGTGAGAAGGTGACAACAGTTGGTGTGATTATTCGCAAATGGAAGAAACACAAAAGAACTGTCAATCTCCCTCGGCCTGGGACTCCATGCAAGATCTCACCTTGTGGAGTTGCAATGATCATGAGAACGGTGAGGAATCAGCCCAGAACTACACGTGAGGATCTTGTCAATGATCTCAAGGCAGCTGGGACCATAGTCACCAAGAAAACATTTGGTAACACACTACGCCGTGAAGGACTGAAATCCTGCAGCGCCCGCAAGGTCCCCCTGCTCAAGAAAGCACATATACAGGCCCGTCTGAAGTTTGCCAATGAACATCTGAATGATTCAGAGGAGAACTGGGTGAAAGTGTTGTGGTCAGATGAGACCAAAATCGAGCTCTTTGGCATCAACTCAACTCGCTGTGTTTGGAGGAGGAATTCTGCCTATGACCCCAAGAACACCATCCCCACCGTCAAACATGGAGGTGGAAACATTATGCTTTGGGGGTGTTTTTCTGCTAAGGGGACAGGACAACTTCACCGCATCAAAGGGACGATGGACGGGGCCATGTACCATCAAATCTTGGGTGAGAACCTCCTTCCCTCAGCCAGGGCATTGAAAATGGGTTGTGGATGGGTATTCCAGCATGACAATGACCCAAAACACACGGCCAAGGCAACAAAGGAGTGGCTCAAGAAGAAGCACATTAAGGTCCTGGAGTGGCCTAGCCAGTCTCCAGACCTTAATCCCATAGAAAATCTGTGGAGGGAGCTGAAGGTTTGAGTTGCCAAACGTCAGCCTTGAAACCTTAATGACTTGGAGAAGATCTGCAAAGAGGAGTGGGACAACACCGTCCTGAGATGTGTGCAAACCTGGTGGCCAACTACAAGAAACGTTTGACCTCTGTGATTGCCATCAAAGGTTTTGCCACCAAGTACTAAGTCATGTTTTGCAGAGGGGTCAAATACTTATTTCCCTCATTAAAATGCAAATCAATTTATAACATTTTTACATGCGTTTTTCTGGATTTTGTTGTTGTTATTCTGTCTCACTGTTCAAATAAACCTACCATTAAAATTATAGACTGATCATGTCTTTGTCAGTGGGCAAACGTACAAAATCAGCAGGGGATCAAATACTTTTTTCCCTCACTGTATATATAGTTAGTACGAGTCAAAAGTTTGGACACACCTACTCATTCAAGGGTTTTTCTTTATTTTTACTATTTTCTACATTGTAGAATAATAGTGAAGACATCAAAACTATGAAATAACACATGGAATCATGTAGTAACCAAAAAAAAGTGTTAAACAAATCAAAATATATTTTATATTTGAGATTCTTCAAAGTAGCCACCCTTTGCCTTGATGACAACTTTGCACACTCTTGGCATTCAACCATGAAGCATGGAGGAGGAGGTGTGATGGTGCTTTGCTGGTGACACTGTCTGTGATTTATTTAGAATTCAAGGCACACTTAACCAGCATGGCTACCACAGCATTCTCCAGCGATACGCCATCCCATCTGGTTTGGGCTTAGTGGGACTATCATTTGTTTTTCAACAGGACAATGACCCAAAACACACCTCAAGGCTGTGTAAGGGCTATTTGACCAAGAAGGAGAGTGATGGAGTGCTGCATCAGATGACCTGGCCTCCACAATCACCCGACCTCAACCCAATTGTGATGGTTTGGGATGAGTTGGACCGCAGAGTGAAGGAAAAGCAGCCAACAAGTGCTCAGCATATGTGGGAACTCCTTCAAGACTGTTGGAAAAGCATTCTAGGTGAAGCTGGTTGAGAGAACGCCAAGAGTGTGCAAAGCTGTCTTCAAGGCAAAGGGTGGCTACTTTGAAGAATCTCAAATATAAAATATATTTTGATTTGTTTAACACTTTTTTTTGGTTACTACATGATTCCATGTGTTATTTCATAGTTTTGATGTCTTCACTATTATTCTACAATGTAGAAAATAGTAAAAATAAAGAAAAACCCTTGAGTAGGTGTGTCCAAACTTTTGACTGGTACTGTATATGACTGGCTGACTAACCTGCTCCTTCAGCTCATCAATGGTGGCCTCAGCCTGCTTCATCTCCTCCTGTAGTTTCTCCTTCTGGGTCCTCAGCGTCTCCAGCTCTCCATTCTTCTTCTCCATCTGCTTCTGGAGCTTCACATGCTCCTGCTTCTCAGAGGAAGACAGGTCACGCATCCTGGGAGGAGAGATAGTTATGTTAAAGCTCAATCCAAAGGGAAACATTAAGGCCTGGTTTTCTGGACACAGATTAAATTTTATCCTGGATTAAAAGGCATGTTCAAGGGAGCGTTTGGTGGGTTTTTTTAAACACACTCACCTGACCAGAGCCTCTTTCAGTCTGCTGTTCTGCTCCTCCAGCTGCTTGACATGGTAACTGGAGGCAGCTCCATCAGAACCTGGTGAAGCAATACAGTTAGGTTACGTTTTAACTTTGCCAAGTAATACTGGATAAATCCTACTTAAAAAATTATACACACACACACACACACACACACACAGTGGGGGAAAAAAGTATTTAGTCAGCCACCAATTGTGCAAGTTCTCAACCCCATAGAAAATCTTTGGAGGGAGTTGAAAGTCCGTGTTGCCCAGCGACAGCCCCAAAACATCACTGCTCTAGAGGAGATCTGCATGGAGGAATGGGCCAAAATACCAGCAACAGTGTGTGAAAACCTTGTGAAGACTTACAGAAAACGTTTGACCTGTATTGAGAAACTTTTGTTATTGACCAAATACTTATTTTCCACCATAATTAGCAAATAAATTCATAAAAAATCCTACAATGTGATTTTCTGGATTTTTTCCCCTCAATTTGTCTGTCATAGTTGACGTGTACCTATGATGAAAATTACAGGCCTCTCTCATCTTTTTTAGTGGGAGAACTTGCACAATTGGTGGCTGACTAAATACTTTTTTCCCCCACTGTATATATACACACACACACACACACACATTTGGGTAGCTACTCAATAATCCCTGTAGTAAAAAGGGATCGACATTAAAGTCCAGGAAGGACGCAATCTTTTACACTAACACACTACTAGTGACCTCTGACCTTTCTCCTCAACCTCACAATCATAATAGTGTTGCTTCCAAATTTGGTAACGTTAGCTATAAGGTCAATTCAGTCTTTATTTTTCCCCTTAGGGTAGGTCAACACACTACCAATCAATGAATACTATCACCCTGTAGAGTTAACTGTGAATTCTGACCTTTCTCCTCGACCTCATGTTTGATGATCTCCAGGTCCATGGTGAGCTCCTCCAACTTCTCCTTCAGTGACTCCACCTCCACCTGCAGGCTCTCCGACCGCTCCTCTGCCATCTCCTTGTCCAGTGTGGCCATCTCGATGGCGTCCGCCGTGTCTGACATCTCCTCCATGTAGCGGTCTTTAGACTCCAGGGCCTCCCGAGCATCCTGAAAGAGGGGAGTTGAAATCATCAGTACTCTCACTTTACATAGAAGACAATTACATCAGTTACCTCTTATCAGTTACCCTGTAAGAAAAATACGAACTGTTGTCAAATAGAATATCATGATTTACTGTTCATTGAAAATGTTTCTTATCTAATAGGGAAAGTGGACAGGTACCCATAAGTCATCAAAGTGATTTATTCATTTCTATGGTGGGTACTAGTACTCGTTACCTTCTTGGCCTCTTTGAGTTGTTTCTGGAGGTCGGCCTGCTGCTCCTGCATCTTGGTCTTCCACTCCTGCAGCTGCTCCAGCTGGATCTTGTATTTCTCCAGCTCCTTCAGCTTGACCTTGTCCTCCGCCCGCTTCATCATCAGGGTCTCCAGCTTCTCCTCTAGATCCTTCACCTGACCTCGCAGAGACTCCTCCTCCTGGGGGAAGAACGGAATAAAGAGGAAGTGGAGAGAGGCAAGAGGGAGGAGCACACAGAGAATCACTACATGTTGATTTGTGATGAATTGGGAAAGGCATTTTTAACCATGAGAAAGGGGATAGTGGACATCTCAGAGAGAGTCTAAAGCACCCGCATACAAAACCCCCCACACCACACAGCGTAAATACATGCTCCCACCACCAAGGACCGTCATTACAGTGACACATTTACACTGGCATGAAACCAAAGATGGAAACTCTGCTCTCTGTGGGCACATTGTGGAAGTGCAGTAGTAGTGAGGTTGTGGAGAAGCGCTCTTCTGAAACACCCTGTTAACTCTTGTTAGTTGGTCAAACAACATGCCAGGCCAGATCTATGCATGCATCCAAATACTGTTACCCTACCTGCTTCGATACGGGAGGCTCAGCCTGTTTACAATGACAACACGGATGGAACAGTCAACAGACGATGTATATATGACAAATGAGGAAACAATGGATTGAGGTGATACCTTGGGCTTAGATCAGTGGTCCCCAACTCTGGTTCTGGAGAGCTTCAGGTAATGCAGGCTTTTGTTCCAGCCCAGCACTAAAAACATCCATCAACTTATCAATGTCATAATGATTATTTGACTATGGTGTTTTCTTGATGTTCTAGAACAAAAGCCTACACACAGTACACACACTAACTCTCCAGAACCAGAATTGGTGTTCTACCTTACGTAATGATCTGATTGGCCAGGGTGGAGGGTTATGGACTGACCTTGCTAGGGGTGGCAGGGGGAGGAGCTCCGGGCGTGGCGGGAGTGCCGCTGGGCAGGGGGACCACGGGAGCCCCCAGTGCACCCTTGGAAGACAGGCTGCCCTCACTGACATCCTCCCTGGACAGAGAGCTGGACAGACCAGAGGCGGGGGTGGCTAAGACTCGGGGGGTCTGGGGACGGGAAGAGGAGGGGGCAGGGAGAGATGGAGAAAAGATAGAGAGGAAAAGAACAGGAAGGAATCAAGAAATAAAAGTAAACGCATGTAAAAGAGAAAATTACATCCGTGAGACAGCACCATTACCTGTTAATCCCAGTGATCATAGTGAAACAGACTGCCACCCAGAAGACAGGTACATAGTCTGGTTCTAGATCTGATTGTGCTCTTACCAACTCCATTGCTGTCATTCATCTATAAGGAGTTGGCAAGAGAGCAGAAACAGACTGGCACTCAGGCTAAGAACAGAAGAACAAACCCAGGTGAACTCAGGTCAACCCATGGTAAAGTGAACATGTCATTGTGAGTCAACACCCCTGGCACACAGGTGATAGAATGCCACACCCAGTGCCATATAAGTCTCCACTCCCTGTGCTGATCTGGCCTACACTAAAAAGTATCAACTGTCCTTGAAGGAACTGGTACAGGTTAACTGAACTATGTGGAAAATTGTGAACTCTGGTCGTAGATGGTAGGTCAACTACAGCAGTAAGTTACTGTTTTCCTTTTGTGGGGACTTGGTTGAATAACTAACTATATATGCTGTAGTCATTCCAGTTATTGTAGGGATTTTGACCAATGACCAGAAGGACCAGAGTTCACCCCTCCAGGACCTGAGTTGGTATGTCCCTGTGGGGGTCAGGTGGTTTGAGGAAGGAACGTACCATGCGGAGGGAGGGGAGGGAGCTGGAGTAGGAGAGGCGACCAGGAGTGTTCAACTGTTGTGGTGTGTGATAGAGTAGACTCTGTTAGGGCTTGAAGAACTGTCTGCTGCTGCAATCTCTCTTCCTGTGGGCATTCTCTATATCAACTTTATACACTCTACTACACTCACATTCTGTAGTTAGGCCGATGCAGATACACATACTCCATGTACCGAGTGTGTGACATACTGCATGTTAAATATTGGCTACTATCAGAGAAGACCTAGCTGCAATATCGCACACTAAACATAATTTCTAGACTGTAGATAACCTGCTATATTCCTACACCATCTACATCTAAGAGCTATAACCCATGTTTCATTTCATATGATATACAAAATGACAGGTGAACTCTTCCCTCTTAGTTACCCCTGTTACCTCACTGAATGTCTGTCTGTCTGTCTGATGTTCAAACGCTCACCTTGGTACTACGGCAGGTTACGGACTGGAGGAGGGTGGGTAGAGGCGGAGGAGAGAATAGAGGACACACACACAGATAGACATAGGCCACAGCAGAGGAAGTGAGGGCAGCAATTAGCAATACGAGAGGAGCCGAAACACACAGTGTTAAGATGAGTCTACACACATATCACTCTACAGGCAGGATTACTACTGTGTGTTACTGGATTAACCACTTAAGTCTTTATGCAAGTATGTACTGACCATAACTATTATGTTCAAAATCTGAAGACATACTGTAATAGATGAGCGGGTGAAGTTGATTTTAAGAAGTATATCAAATTAGTACAATTCCAATCCCAAGTGATGTGCAGGCACAAACACGGCGCATCACAACCCAAGCAAGCATACACTTGTCTCTGAAAGGTTAACCAAAAAATGCAATCGAAATAATTAGCCTAACAGCCTGAAAATGCGAAATCATGCTCCCAAATGTCTCATGAAACCATAGAAAAAAATGAAGACACAAAATGTCCATGTGAAGCAGTTGAGGTAGAAACTCCAAAAGACAAACTACAGAAAATATATTACTGTTGAGCAAAAATATGACCCCGAATAGCCAAATTCTAAATAAAAAAATGCTGATGTGTTGAAAAAGAAAACGTGACAAGCAGGCACCAGGGCAAGGCAGATTAGCATAGTTTAAATATCTATACCTTCTTGGGAATGGGCATCTGTAACGGTATTTGGGGGAATAGGAGAGGAGAGAGGGATAGAGAGAGATAGAGAGAAGTAGGGGAAATAGAGGTCAATCACTTGAAAAAAGGAGAGAGGGGAGGGAGGGGAAGAGGAGAGGGAGGAGTAGAAATCAACACAGGGAAGGAAATCATTTTAAACAAGCCATATACTGTCTGTATTGTTACTGTACCTGTTTGACTGATTTCGGAGTCTCAGGAATGTCTGGGGGGAAAAAACAAGACTTTGAGATATAACACAAACTCATTATAGTTTATAAACTACTTATAAAACATTTATAAATCATTTTTAATATCATCAATGTAAAGTTTTACAGCGTAGTCTTATGAGTGGTCTAAGATGAGCACCAGGGCCAGTATTCACAGTCTCAACGCATGAGTGCTGATCTAGTATCAGGTCCCCTCTGTCCATGTAATCTTATTAATAATGATTTGAAAGGCAAAACTGATCCTAGATCAGCACTCCTGCTCTGAGACACTTTATGAATAGGGGCCCAGACCTTGTAGGAGGCCTAAATTACAGTATAAAGCTTTGTTATCCAGCTCACCTTTCTGCTTGGGCAGGAACTTGGCAGTTGCAGCTTCTGGGGTGTCTGGAGAGGTGCCACTGGATCCATCTTCTACTAGCTGGATCTGACAAAGATAAAGAGGGAGAGAGATGCTCAATACGTCAGTCCACCACTGAGTGTGTGTTTGTGAATACTATTGTTCCTATGCAAGTAGATTATGCCCACTAAAATGATGTCTCACCTTCAGACATCTTTTCTTCCCCTTATGCGTGTGTGTGTGTGTGTACATCTGCATTAGAGTGCATATAAAGTGTCTATATCGGGTGGCGTGTAAGCTTAGCTTACCTGGGACTGGCGCACAAAGATACCACAGTTCTCATCGCAGTGAAAGTATCTCTTCCCCTGGACCGTGCCGTCGTTCTTGCCCTTGGGCTCGTCAAGGATCACGCCCACCCACTTGCCCGTGGCGAAGAGCGTGGCGCCCACGTAAGCCACGGTGCCACGCTGGCCCTTACCGATCACCTCCACCACTGAGCCCACCTTGGCAGGCTTGCCGCCCCCGTCTGCACTCATCTTGCTCAGGAGGGGGCTGCTGAAGAGCTGGGGAGGGGGGAGAGAGAGGGGGACACAACGGGTCATTAGAGGGTGGAGCAAAGTATGCTGATGGTTGTTGGAGGGACAGAGAGCAAGGTCTGTTGTTGTACACTGAGCCACTGCAAGTGGTCAGTAAGAACACTGATGTTGTTATCATCTTTAAGACTTTAAGCCATGAAATGTGAAATTTAACTGAATAATACATTGCTCAAAAAAATAAAGGGAACACTTAAACAACACAATGTAACTCCAAGTCAATCACACTTCTGTGAAATCAAACTGTCCACTTAGGAAGCAACACTGATTGACAATACATTTCACATGCTGTTGTGCAAATGGAATAGACAACAGGTGGAAATTATAAGCAATTAGCAAGACACCCCCAATAAAGAAGTGGTTCTGCAGGTGATGACCACAGACCACTTCTCAGTTCCTATGCTTCCTGGCTGATGTTTTGGTCACTTTTGAATGCTGGCGGTGCTTTCACCCTAGTGGTAGCATGAGACGGAGTCTACAACCCACACAAGTGGCTCAGGTAGTGCAGCTCATCCAGGATGGCACATCAATGCGAGCTGTGGCAAGAAGGTTTGCTGTGTCTGTCAGCGTAGTGTCCAGTGCATGGAGGCGCTACCAGGAGACAGGCCAGTACATCAGGAGACGTGGAGGAGGCCGTAGGAGGGCAACAACCCAGCAGCAGGACTGCTACCTCCGCCTTTGTGCAAGGAGGAGCAGGAGGAGCACTGCCAGAGCCCTGCAAAATGACCTCCAGCAGGCCACAAATGTGCATGCGTCTGCTCAAACGGTCAGAAACAGACTCCATGAGGGTGGTATGAGGGCCCGACGTCCACAGGTGGGGGTTGTGCTTACAGCCCAACACCGTGCAGGACGTTTGGCATTTGCCAGAGAACACCAAGATTGGCAAATTCGCCACTGCCGCCCTGTGCTCTTCACAGATGAAAGCAGGTTCACACTGAGCACATGTGACAGACGTGACAGAGTCTGGAGACGCCGTGGAGAACGTTCTGCTGCCTGCAACATCCTCCAGCATGACCGGTTTGGCGGTGGGTCAGTCATGGTGTGGGGTGGCATTTCTTTGGGGGGCCGCACAGCCCTCCATGTGCTCGCCAGAGGTAGCCTGACTGCCATTAGGTACCGAGATGAGATCCTCAGACCCCTTGTGAGACCATATGCTGGTGCGGTTGGCCCTGGGTTCCTCCTAATGCAAGACAATGCTAGACCTCATGTGGCTGGAGTGTGTCAGCAGTTCCTGCAAGAGGAAGGCATTGATGCTATGGACTGGCCTGCCCGTTCCCCAGACCTGAATCCAATTGAGCACATCTGGGACATCATGTCTCGCTCCATCCACAAACGCCACGCTGCACCAGACTGTCCAGGAGTTGGCGGATGCTTTAGTCCAGGTCTGGGAGGAGATCCCTCAGGAGACCATCCGCCACCTCATCAGGAGCATGCCCAGGCGTTGTAGGGAGGTCATACAGGCACGTGGAGGCCACACACACTACTGAGCCTCATTTTGACTTGTTTTAAGGACATTACATCAAAGTTGGATCAGCCTGTAGTGTGGTTTTCCACTTTAATTTTGAGGGTGACTCCAAATCCAGACCTCCATGGGTTGATAAATTTGATTTCCATTGATAATTTTTGTGTGATTTTGTTGTCAGCACATTCAACTATGTAAAGAAATAAGTATTTAATAAGATTATTTCATTCATTCAGATCTAGGCTGTGTTGTTTAAGTGTTCCCTTTATTTTTTTGAGCAGTGTAGTTGTCGATGGCATATCCATTTCCCCTCAACTCGATGCCCCATTAGTTGCCTGGCTACCCAGACTCCTTTCTCCGGCCAACACTGCACCACAACCACGGACGTTCGTTTCTTCTCCGCAAGGAGTCTGGATCGGAGTACCTCCCCGACCCTTCACCGAATGTGAACACATTTGGGCCCGTCTGATTGGTCCAGAAACCGATGGGTTGGGCCAGAATACGTGGGTAAAGCGGCGGTTTGAAAATGTATAATTGGCTTTTATACTATGATTGGTTAGAGACAATCCAATCACTGATGAATTTGTTTTGCACAATGCCCCTCGTCACCACAAACAACTTCAATGTTGGCAGTCTCAGACTCAAGTACTGTATGTGGTGAAGAATTGAGTGTGAGTCGTCAGGCTTCCCCATTAAGCCAATAGGCATAGTTCCCTGTGAATGTCAGACAGCTGACTCCTGTCTACTAGCTAGGCCATATAGACAGCTAGGATGAGGCTGAGAGGTAAAATATCTGATAAAGGCCTATTCCACAACAAGAACTAGAACCAAACAACATATTGTCGATGACATATCATTAGGCCTAGTTCCCTCTGTCTGAATGTCAACCAGCTGACTCTAAGCTAGCTAGGCCACAGACAGCCTGAGGACACAGTCACACACCCAGTCATATGGTTCAGCAGCCTGTAACCATTACAGTCAGCAGACACACAGACAACACCGCTCACTGTCTAGACACATAGAGGAACTCATTCATAAAATGGTCAAATGGGGGCAGTGAAGGAACATGAAGCATTATATTTCGGTCTTCGGCGAGGCAATGCCATGTGAGATGATGAGACCAGATTCACGGTAGCTAGCCTTATAGATATCGTCCGAAGGGCAGACAACTGGGAGGACTAGCCAGGATCCAATCATGGCAGGAATGGTGTTAGAAACTAAAGACTAGAGAAGAAGATGAGAAACTGAGCTCCTATGTATGCCATAGCTAATAACATTGGAATAAAATGAACAACCAGGAAATACCATTAAAACTGGAATAGTCTACCCATCCTAACCGTGACTTCTTCAGCTGAAGAGGTGAACAGATCATGGAGCCACACCAGGTTAGATCATCATCCCCAACATCATAATCTTCAGGACCTTGCTGTATAGCCTGCATTCATTTATTTGCCAGCAGTATCAACAAGAAAACTCCTCTTGATACACTTCTGTTCTTAAAAAGGTGGCACAATAACAAATCATTGAAATGTGAATCAAATCAAATGTAGATAGCCAATTACTAGTCATAGGCAACATAGCTGACTGTTGCTGTTTGTTCAATCAAATCAACTCATATGTAGCCATAGCCTAAAGACAAGCACTAGTCTAGTCTTTGGCAGAATATCAGATAGGACTCACCAAGCTGCCCCGGCCAATACCCAAGCCCATCGCCGGGACGGCCAAGGAATGCCGCCTGCGCATTCCAGCCATATTGACTTGTCTTATTTATCACCAAAAACAACAGTATCAAACAAAGAGTGGAAGCTTCTCTCTCTCGCTCCTCTTAACTTTTCTATATCTCCTTGCGAGAGGAGACAGGAGAGGAGTGCAAAAGAGGAGGGTCTCTGGGGATGCTATAGAGTGGTGAGGGGGAGTCATCTACTGGAAGAGTCATGGTAGACGACTGGGGGAGGGAGGGGGGGGGGGGGGGGGGGGTATTGCAGTGGATGCGAGCTTTGAATGGAAGCCAGTGGAGTGTGCGGAGGAGCGAGGTGACATAAGAGAACTTGGGAAGGTTGAAAACCAGACGGGCTGCATTCTGGATAAGTTGCAGGGGTTCGACCTTCCCAAGTTCTCTCATGTCACCCCGCTCCTCCGCACACTCCGCTGGCTCCAGTCGAAGCTAGCAGTAGTTGCAGTAGTCCAGACGGGAGAGGACAAGTGCCTGGATTAGGACCTGTGCCGCTTCCTGTGTGAGGTAGGATCGTACTCTACGGATATTGTAGAGCGGGTCACTGCTTTGATGTTTGCAGAGAACAACAGGGTGTTGTCAAGGGTCACACAAAGGTTCTTTGCACTCTGGGAGTGCGACACTGTGAAGTTATCAACTGTGATGATATCAGTGCATAAAAAACTACAATCCATCTCCTGAATTAGCCTAGTGTGCATGTGCGCCCAGTTATATCCTGTCCCAAGCTTGTTTTTCCCAGTTTTCCCTGGCTAAACTAGCTGCACTGTTAGTTTTCGTCATTGACAAACTTCATGAATACTGGACCCTCAACTTCAAAACTAATTTGCTAGTTATACAATCATGTAACTAAGACATTTGCTGGAAAGAAACTTAATTTATTGTTTTGTTGAATAGTCATGACTGGTTTCAAGCTATCTGTCGTAAGACAACGTTGGCGAAGGATATCATTGCTACATAACGCAGATCCAAGTTCAGTTTTGAGATCCACCGGCGTCATTGGCTTAAGGTTAGCTGGACGTTTCTGACTAGTCTTGGAACTGCCAGCCTCTCCCTGCTTGGCTCAATGGGATATGTAGTAATTTTGCCAACATAGACAGATATGTACACAGTCTTGTACCTTTAACCAAATGCCATCTGTCACATTAAAAGTAAAAGTCTAAATGTCATTTAAATTGCTAGTTGCGGGACGAAGCTAGGTGAAAGTATCATCAAGCACAAACATTCTGACAGTTGGCAAGCTAAGCTAGCTAGCCAGCGAGGTTCAGTGACAGTGGTTCAAGCCAAGGGGGTTAGTCAGTTTGTTAGAGGGACATCATCACCGGCGCCTGCGCGACTAGTTAGCTAGCTAGTTGGTTAGATAGCTAGTTAGTCAGGGTGTGTTTCGCAGAGAGGAACAGGTAGTTATACAAAAAATTATGATAACTTGCTAAAGTTAACAAACCAGCTAACTAGTCAGTCAAAATATGATTGTAATGTTAGCTAGCTAACTACCTCGAGCAAACATAATTAGTTAGCTACAGTAGCTACCCTGACTACTCTACTAAATATATCTTCATAGCTTCAGTTTTCCAACAAAAAGCAGCAGTACCGTTGGCGAGTTACCAACTAAATGCCTTTGCTGCTAGCTAGCTAAATCAACAAATAATGCGATTTCATTAGCTAGCTATCTAGTGAACGTTAGCTGGTAGCCTAACAGTCCATAAGCTTGAGAAGATAGCTAGCTACTAGTACTGTAGCTAGCGAATTTAAGCCACTTACCTGCAAATTGACAAAGTTAAGTTTGGTACGATGTTCTTTGTAAAAATCCACACAATTCCCAACGAACTTGTTGGTATAACACTAGAAAAAGACCTACAGGTAAGGGTCAGTTAGCAAAATGCAATGTCCACCTAGCTTCACCAACTTCCGGTGTTTGTTGCAAGTTTTTCTCAGAATAAAAGTTGTCTACTTCCACTTCTTTGGTATTCAGAATAAAAGTCCGTCTGACAAAAGTGACATTTAAAATGTGTTCATTGGAATTACATTACAGTAGTTTCAATAACAAGATCCAATGCATAACACATTTCAAACATCTGAGGTAACTTTGGGGTATCTGTACTTTGCTTTACTACACTCCTAAAGAAAATTATGTACTTTTTACTCCACACATTTTCCCTGACACCCAAAAGTACTCGTTACATTGTGAATGCTTAGCAGGACAGGAAAATTGTCAAATTCACACACTTATCAAGAGAACATCCCTGGTCATTCATACTGCCTCTGATCTGATGGACTCACTAAACACATGCTTCATTTGTAAATTATGTCTATAAGGGTAACACATCAGCATAGCAGGTATTCATATGGTAGTGTTTATAAAGTTACCTCATAAGAATAGCAGTTATTTATATGGTAGTGTTTATAATGCTACCTCATAAGCTTAGCAGGTATTTACATGGTAGTGTTTATAATGTCACCTTGTCAGCATAGCGTCACGTCTCTCCTCCTACTTCACTATTAGCAAGTGTGTGGAATGTCATTCACCTATTAACTTCAGCCTATGAGCATGGCACAATTCCAACACGCTTCCTGAATAACCTATGGGCTCACTCGTGCAATAACCACTTTCCGTTCTTTCAACCAATGGGCATAAATCTAGGGACAGTGGTGCAAAAAGTACCCAATTGACATACTTGAGTAAAACTAATAATACCTTACTAGAAAATGACTCAAGTAAAAGTGAAAGTCACCCAGTAAAATACTACTAAAGTCTAAAAGTATTTGGTTTGAAATATACTTAAGTATAAAAAGTCAATGTAATTGCTAAAATATACTTAAGTATCAAAAGTAAAAGTAAAAGTATAAATCATTTCAAATTCCTTCTATTAAGCAAACCAGCCGGCATCATTTTCTTGTTATATATACAGTGGGGAGAACAAGTATTTGATACACTGCCGATTTTGCAGGTTTTCCTACTTACAAAGCATGTAGAGGTCTGTAATTTATTTATCATAGGTACACTTCATCTGTGAGAGACAGAATCTAAAACAAACATCCAGAAAATCACATTGTATGGTTTTTAAGTAATTAATTTGCATTTTATTGCATGACATAAGTATTTGATCACCTACCAACCAGTAAGAATTCCAGCTCTCACAGACCTGTTAGTTTTTCTTTAAGAAGCCCTCCTGTTCTCCGCTCATTACCTGTATTAACAGCACCTGTTTGAACTCGTTACCTGTATAAAAGACACCTGTCCACACACTCAATCAAACAGACTCCAACCTCTACACAATGGCCAAGACCAGAGAGCTGTGTAAGGACATCAGGGATAAAATTGTAGACCTGCACAAGGCTGGGATGGGCTACAGGACAATAGGCAAGCAGCTTGGTGAGAAGGCAACAACTGTTGGCGCAATTATTAGAAAATGGAAGAAGTTCAAGATGACGGTCAATCGACTCGGTCTGGGGCTCCATGCAAGATCTCACCTCGTGGGGCATCAATGATCATGAGGAAGGTGAGGGATCAGCCCAGAACTACACGGCAGGACCTGGTCAATGACCTGAAGAGAGCTGGGACCCCAGTCTCAAAGAAAACCATTAGTAACACACTACGCCGTCATGGATTAAAATCCTGCAGCGCACGCAAGTTCCCCCTGCTCAAGCCAGCGCATGTCCAGGCCCGTCTGAAGTTTGCCAATGACCATCTGGATGATCCAGAGGAGGAATGGGAGAAGGTTATGTGGTCTGATGAGACAAAAATAGAGCTTTTTGGTCTAAACTCCACTCGCCGTGTTTGGAGGAAGAAGAAGGATGAGTACAACCCCAAGAACACCATCCCAACCGTGAAGCATGGAGGTGGAAACATCATTCTTTGGGGATGCTTTTCTGCAAAGGGGACAGGACGACTGCACCGTATTGAGGGGAGGATGGATAGGGCCATGTATCGCGAGATCTTGGCCAACAACCTCCTTCCCTCAGTAAGAGCATTGAAGATGGGTCGTGGCTGGGTCTTCCAGCATGACAACGACCCGAAACACACAGCCAGGGCAACTAAGGAGTGGCTCCGTAAGAAGCATCTCAAGGTCATGGAGTGGCCTAGCCAGTCTCCAGACCTGAACCCAATAGAAAATCTTTGGAGGGAGCTGAAAGTCCGTATTGCCCAGCGACAGCCCCGAAAGCTGAAGGATCTGGAGAAGGTCTGTATGGAGGAGTGGGCCAAAATCCCTGCTGCAGTGTGTGCAAACTTGGTCAAGACCTACAGGAAACGTATGATCTCTGTAATTGCAAACAAAGGTTTATGTACCAAATATTAAGTTCTGCTTTTCTGATGTATCAAATACTTATGTCATGCAATACAATGCAAATTAATTACTTAAAAATCATACAATGTGATTTTCTGGATTTTTGTTTTAGATTCCGTCTCTCACAGTTGAAGTGTACCTATGATAAAAATTACAGACCTCTACATGCTTTGTAAGTAGGAAAACCTGCAAAATCGGCAGTGTATCAAATACTTGTTCTCCCCACTGTATGTTTTTTTACGGATAGCCAGAGGCACGCTCCAACACTCAGACATCAAGGGTGGCTACTTAAAGAATCTCAAATATAAAATATATTTTGATTTGTTTAACACTTTTTTGGTTACTACATGATTCCATATGTGTTATTTCGTAGTTTTGATGTCTTCACTATTATTCTACAATGTAGAAAATAGTACAAATAATGAAAAACCCTTAAATGAATAGGTGTTGTAAAACTTTTGACCGGTAGTGTATATATATTTTTATACCTAAATGGGTCCTAGAATTCAAAATCAAATAGCTAAATGATCCATGGTATGACCTTCTTAAAACAATTAAATGAAAATCTATGGAAAGACTTGAAAATGGCTGTCTAGCAATGATCAACAACTAATTTGACAGAGCTTGAAGAATTGTTTAAAGAATAATGGGAAAATGTTGGACAATCCAGGTGTGGAAAGCTGTTAGAGACTTACCCAGAAAGACTCACAGCTGTAATCGCTGCCAAAGGTGATTCT